GCAGCCATTTTGAATTTTCTGAGATACAAATCTGATAAATAATACCATAATTGTGATCTACTCCAAAATTCCTTCAATTTGAGTATAATATAGCCATACTTTGAAGGGATCGAAAAATTATTGCGAAATCGTACATTAGACGGCCATTTTGAATTTTACGAGGCTCGAATCAGAAAAAGATACAATATTTGCAATCTACTCTTAATTGCCTTTCATTTGAGTATAATAAAGCTATACTTAAGAAAGATCTAAAAATTAGCGAAAATTTCTGTTTTTCTGTCCCCCCATACACGGCCCCTGGGGGTCAGGATGAAAAACACATATTATATGTGAAATAGATAAATGTTGTGAATATACTACCAAAATTTCAAACAATAATATTAATTACTTTGGTTAAGAATGAAAAATTTATGATTTTTGCGAAAAAGTCCCGTCATTTTTAAAGCGGCGGCCATCTTGAAAAAAACTTTTGCGCAAAACTATTTACCAATATACATCTTTCCACTAAATATGAAGAAAATCTGTCTACTAGTATTTGAGTTAGCTTCCGGACAGACGGACGGACTGACTGACTGACTGACGGACTGACGGACGGACAGACGGACGGATGGAGGGCTTCACTATATCCCTACTGAACTTCGTTCGTTGGGATAATAAAGGGTGCGTTTTCAAACTAAACAGAGTGCTCCTACCAAAATGAATTTGCCTACATACCCCTGAGACTCTTATCTGATAGATGGAATGCACAAATAAAACAAAAGTTTTCCTATAATAGGTAAAAAGTTCTCTTAAAATTTTGAAGTGATTTTACCTGTTCATTCTGTCATTGGTCCGCCATTTTTGCGGAAGTTACACTGAAACGCAAACTCCATGAAACGAAACGAAATCACTAGAAAAAAACATGACACACATTATGCGCATGTGCAGCAAAGTTTAAACCAATCAGATTATTTGATTATTTTGCGCACATGAATTATTTGCTTCTGAGCACTTACAAGCTAACCACAATAAACAAACCTGGCAGAGACTACCATTAGCCTACTTCATTTTAGCGAAATTTCAGCTCAAACCACTCCGTATATTATATTACTAGGAACCCCTGGCACTATCTAACTGCAAAATTTGGGGTATGTAGGTTGGAAAATAAAAAAGTTGTAAGATTTTCGACATCTAAAAAGTCACTCGACATTTTTGCAAAAAACCTTCCAAAAAGTAACAGTCGCATGAATTCACATTGTTGTACTTACAAAATGATCCACCACCTAACTTATGCACCATTGAACTCGGTAATATTGTACACGTAACTATTAATTACAGTTAATTCCCATAGAAAACTGGGCTTGCTTTTCAACATTTCAAGCGAAAATTCTCTACGGAGCTTTTGTTTTTCTGACGTAATTTCTTCCAAGAAATCGGTGACGTGATAGGTTCAGTTCATCTTATTTAGAAAGGGGTATCATCTATTTAGAATATTTATTTTCATCTTGTCCAGTCCTATATACAATCTGCCCTTATCTTTTTCGCTTGTAAAACCGCGTAGTAATGTTGAAATTATGGAATAGATTCTCTGAGAGTGGCGACATGTCTTCATCTCTACCATTTTGCGTTTGACACCCCTCGTTTTGGGCGAGTCCACTACTGCACATCTGGGTGATTAGAAAAGGGACATTTTTTAAAAAGATCGAGCGGCAACATAGATACTTCTGGTCAAACTGAGTTTATGACGAAACTTATGAAAGAATCAATAAAAGGTAAGTGGTATACATTAGGCCAAAAATTAAACGTGGAGCAAATTTGAAACTTCAGAATGCTTTCTGTGATTCAAAATCACAAAAAAGGCGAGTGATGTCGAAAATCTTAGTGACTTGAAAAAAAGTGGCGTTTTTTTTGGCCCACCCTGTACATGTATCTGAATCAGTCAAGAGCCTTTGACGTAGGTAAGCCCCATGGCCGAAATAGGCTAGCCCCATGACGAAGTAACGCCATATGCTGAATTCGAGGCATCTCCTGTAAATGTCGCATCTCCCCTAAATGTCACTGTAAACTGACATAACTGGTCCATTACCAGACACCTCTTTTTCACTATGATAAGTAAATACCATGAAACCAAAATTAAATTCCAAAGCTAAAATTGAATGAGCAATTTATTCTGCTGATTCACTGAAAAATGAGAAAAATTCAGATTTTTGGACCATGGAAGTCATTGGGCACAGAATGAATATACAGAAGAACAGTGCCCAAAATCATGGCTTTACTGTTGATTAATTACAATCTACAATAACATCTGCCAAATTGTACTTACATACAGCTTGAAATCCGGTAGAAACTGCTGCTAAATCGATGAATTCACACACTTCCTGTCATTCACAGCCTGTTCTTTGAGTGAATGTTGTTGCTGTTCAATGATACAAACGTCCTCCCTGTTACTTTATGATATAATTCTGTAAATCTCTAATTAGATAAGATATATAAGCAATATATGAATCAAAATACACTTCAAATAATAATTAATATTCATTATATATGTTTTGTGGTAATGGCATCAGAGTGCATTTATATACTAAAATGCATATTTGGGTTGATGAACGACGCAATCAGTAAATGAAACAGCCTTAGCTTTCCCATGATGCCTTAGTTTTTGCGGGAAATTCAAAGAGTTAAATAGTAAATAAAAGTTGATTTTTTGAAAAGGGGAGATTCTCTATAGGTCCCCATGTTACAAAACCACAAAAAGAGAAATATATTTTCTTGTGTTGGGCAGATAATATTTTCTTTTAAAATAGTGGACATATTTTTGTTTGTAACTATCAGCTTTTATGTTAGTCTCAGCTATCAGCTGAGACCTTGTTAGTCTGAGCTATCAGACACAAGGATTATATGAGAATTGATCCACTTAAACTAATGATATTCAAGTTTGAGGGAGCTTAATTATATACCTGCTATGTTGATAAACCTGACTCAATCAGCCACCTGGTGGTGAAACTGGGAACTAACTTCTTGCATCTCATTTGATTACAGTAGGTGGGGAGGTTAGTTACAAGAGCAAAAAAATTAGATTAGGCCTCATATCATAGGATACTTGCATAATGTAACTGTTTGAGATTATCTTCAAAATGTAGGAATCATGTAATTTATAATATTTTCAAATGTCTCCCATACAATTCTAATTTTATTTTCTAAACAAGGACTGACATACGCTATCTAATAAAACATTACGATAAAAGAATGCATAAATGTTCAAATCCATTAGAACTGAAAAGGGGAACAATCCCAGAACATCCCATTTGATCTTGAAAATCAAAGGGTTATTCTGAAATTAAGTTAGAAGCTGTTGTAATTTTTAGGAAATAGGCATGACATGGAATGATGAGAGCAAAAAATGTTGAAAAATTAGTTTTTGAAAACAGTTTTTGGAAACTCATCTTTATCCCATATGAAGATATAATTCCTTCAAAAGAAAATCCTTTGTATTTTAGAATACTGAAACATAATTTTTTGATTTTTTATGTCTATTCTCTTTCACAAGATGCAGATGATTAGGTAAGATGAAATGAAAGGGAACAAGAATAACCAAAACAAAAAGATATATTTTTAAACTTTATTTAAAAAGTTATTTTCCTTATAAAACATTACATGTATTACAGCATACAACAATAACTCACATACATGTACTTAATTAAAATCTGTAAAAAGCTAAAGATAATGTATGTTCATCATACTTCTGTTGGTTGTCATCAGTTTACATGAAAATAAATATAAATATTAAATGATATGATTGTAGCATTTTTCAGTTTACCTGACCTGACAAACTGGAAATTGTGAGCCTAAAATTGAAGTGACACCTATAGCCGTTAATAATTAGGCTTCACAATTATTGAAATCACTCAGTAGTCGCAGTTCACCTTTTATTCTGATTTACTGTTTTGTGCATTTGTCATTGATAGGCTCTTCATTTTGTGTTTCTATCAAGTACTAATTATATTGCTCTTTATTCTTTGAATACATGCAGCACAAATATACAAAAACACATTTTGTCTTAGAAAGTTTTAATTTGCACTATAAACATGCATTCTATATTGAGTATTACAAATAAAGATAAAGATACTAAAAGATGATACATGACATGGGCGTAGCGTTATATTTCTAAGTAGTACGCCACCACGGGAACAATAGTTGAGTGAAGCAAGAAACGAGCGTTTAGGGGGGTCTAGGGGGTTCTCCCCCAGGAAAATTTTGAAATTTGGCTGTATTTAGAGCGAATTTGCAACCATCTGGTACGCCTGTGCGTACCAAGCGCTACACCTATGCATGATATTTACAGTAATCTACAATAGATGCAACCGAGGAACAGTAAGTAATATAGGCCTATCAGTGAAATTCAGTTCTCACCAAAATGCAAAATTAAAATAATGCTTCAGATTTATTGTCACTGTTCCACAACTAGTTACTTTGACATCAATGTAACAAAAATGGATGAACTTCCTGGTTACTAGTTTTTTGTTTTCTCGATTTAAACCTACTTATAAGTCAAGTTGCAGATTACAATTTGGCACAAAGCTAGAAAATAATAATCTAGTTTCAATAAGTTTCTTCGATTTGGAATTTGTTTTGTCAATGAAGTTTCAATTCATATATTTAGCCTGTCATATTACATGTTAGTATTATCAATGTATGTTACTTTGATATTATGTCAATGTAACAAAAGCGAAAAAAGTTCATCCATTTTGTTACATTGACGTTTCGTCAAAGTAACTAGTTGTGGAACAGTGATTGTGGCTTGAACAATAATACAATATACATGTATTGGTGATTGTGATTGTTCATGGTTTTCACTAGATGAACCATTCATTTTAAAGCACTCCAACCAGAATCAAAAGACTCACTTTCCTTGTGATCATAATGCTGTGAGCAATTTTAGGATTTAAATCTTATGCATCTCCATAACTGTAGTTATGTACATGATGTAGTATGCACTGTAGATTTGCCATAATTCTTTGAGTAGCCTAATTTCAAATTAATATTTGAAAGGATCTACACTTAATTGAGATTTTGAACACTGTCATAATTTTGTGCATTACTTTAGTTATTGAACCATGCATGACCAGACACTTTATTTACATAAGTATAATGTTTTGAATTGTAGAGACATAATATTTTACAAGAAAATAGAGCCTCATTTATCATCAAATGATAATTATATCTTAATCACTCAAGATAAAATCCACATTTAAAAATGATCAGGATTAAATAGATACATCATCATTTGAAACCAGAGCCCCCAAAACTAGATTCTCAATGTTCCTCCAAATTTAAGGGCACAATGTATGGCACTCAGGAAGACCCAAAGCTATGCATTTAACCTTTACCATGCTGCCTTATTTCAGCAAATATATCCCACGCATCTGGCTTCTTTTTCAAAGAGTGCAAAAAATGATATGCCTGGACTAAATAATTAATATCTCAATAACTACTGAATGAATCTGGATAAAATTTTCACAAAGGGAAGATACAGTGGCCTGGCTCATGAAAAAATGTTCTTATGAATATTTTTCGTACAATAACATGACTGGGCATAAATATACCATGAATACTCCTCCGAAATCCGCCTCTCCGCCCCTTCGTCTGGTCAGAATTCAAATCTGAATTTGCAGCGATCGAATGTTCAATTTTTCAATTCAGAAAATATTCTAGTTTCTATTTTCAATGACCATTATCGGCTTCCAAGAGCCTAAAGAGCTCGAAATCGTAGTCCATTTCCTCCACATTTTCGTTGTGATCGTATTTGTCCGCCATTTTGTACAATTTGTTCACTTAAAACGACTAAAACACTGTTTAAATTGTTGAATTGAGAATTATTTTTCGAAATATCGCCATTTTTAGGTCAACAGGAAGTCATGTTAGGCACTGAATAAATCGGGCAATCTAATTGGACAATACGAATGGCGCGAAAAAGTAAAGTTTTTAAAAGTTTGAAATTGGGCGTACGGGTCCGCCGGCAGTTGTGAGAGACATTTTAGTCTCGGCGGACGAGTCCGCCGGCAGCACGCTAAAGGTTAATATCCTGATATTGTACAGATCTTTAATGCTGTTCGTATTGTTTATAGGGGTTAGAGGAGTCTTCCTCTACATTCTGCTGAGCCACAATAACAATAGAGGACCTTCCCTGGCACACTGCCTACTTCATAACTATAGTCCCATGTTAGTTCTGTGCCAGCTCGGATATACCTGCAAGCAAAGAAATGGTTTATATGGTTAACAGTCTTAGGTAGGGAATGAGGAATTCTGTTACTGTAACTCAGATTTACTGAAATATCCATACCCGATATACAGATTTGTAATTGAGGAATGTTTGTACATTTTTAATTTCAACCTCTTTCCTCTAGAATTATAGGAAGTATCAGCTATACATATTGAACACCCTGTGAGAAGAATTCACTTACTGCAATGCAAAGAATGCTACCCATGGAAATCTGAGATCTTGTGTGTCTACAAAGACATTCTGGACGAATACATTTGGACTGCAACAATGCTGTAATTTGAAGCAAACAATATTAAATTATAACTTGTAGCTCTTCATCCTGAAAAAATTATTGAAACGAATTTCAACATTGGCATCATAGTATTTCTCCATGTTAGATATTTGCTTTGAATAGATGGCAGCCCTTGACAATGGTCTCATTGTATTTTATTTCTTATGGATAAAAAATCAAGTTACATTACATTCCTTATTTGTAGTATTTTAGTGCATTTGTGTTTGGCATTTTTGTGAACTTTTTCTCTGGCCTTTTCCCCAATGTACATCAAAATGTGCATCAACGTTTACTCATGAAAACTGGTGTTGCATCGATGTACAATTATGACACCTCATGACAACACTACTGCTCTCCCCATAAATTCCTTAAATACGTACATTGAGATATCTGCCTATGTTTCCAATGGACTTAGCATCCATGATGTAGCAGAAGTCTTCACCTGAGATGAGCCTCCTTGTACTGGGATATTTTTCCTTCTCTGGAAACACATACATATGAATAACACATAATTATGATAATGTAGGCAACTCATGTTTTTGAGTCTCTCTAAACCTACCTTAATCAACCATGCGGTACAAACTTCGACCGTTAATTTAAATTTTTGACCTACCAGGTGTTTGAAAATCAAGGATTGCGAGTCTCATACTGCACCGTTTTTCTTCAAACTTGTTCCATTCAAAGCATAACAAAAATGCCTTTCTGTTGGTACATTATTCTGCTATACAGAGTCCCTACTTTCAGTGGCATTTGGGTCCCCAGCTGTGAGAAGGGCTTCTCACAACTGGGGAAACCAAAACGCTGCTGAAACGAGCGACTCTTTTCAAAAAAGCAGGTCAAAAATTTTAATTAACGGTTGAAGTTTGTACCGCGTGTCAACCTTAAATTCATCCTTGCAGCAAGTATATAGTATTTTATAGAATTTAAGCATAAATGAAGTCTTTTGAAGAAGAGTGCCTTAATTCTACACATTTCCACATTTGCAATCAAACTTTTTTCATGACACTGTCATTAGTTAAAACTGAAACAACAAGTTTATTTGTAGACTATTTGTTAAGCTATTGGGAATAATAATTTACATGTCCTGTAACTGTACCTGGTTTACTTAGTTTTTCTTTCTTCTTTTCTTCTGATGGCATTTGGATTCTATATGTTTTGTTGCTCTTTGGATCTGGCAGGTTCCTAAATCTAGATCTATCTTTCTTTCTTCTATCTGAAACATAAATCATCATATTTTTAAAATTTGAAAGTCATGCCCTGACTCTTTCTTTGCTAAATTCATGGTGACATCCCAGGTTTTACTAGACTTCAGTTGATATTATAGGAACCCAACTCCCATACTGTATATCTTTATTAACACTTATAAATTAGTAAGCAGAATTGAACAGAATTGAACTTTGACAAACTATAGTTGAAAATTAGATATATAAGATATTTCTTAAAAAATTTAATCAATGATTTTTGATCTGTATAGTAAAGAATATAGTTCCACAAGTTTTTCACTTAACATACCACATATCTCTTTCCAGATTGTTCTATTCTTCATAAACTTTTTGCAATTTAGAGAGACACTGCAAAGATGTTTATGTAAAATGAAGATGGGAACTTCAAGTTTCTATCATTCATTGTAAAAATGAAATGTTTGGTGGAATGAACTTTTTATATCTTTGGGTGAAGTGTGACTTTCACAAAATATTACTTTATTCATTTGAATCCACAGCCAGCTTCCTAAAAAACATTTAATTTTCCAAATAGGGATGAAATAGACCTCCCTCCATTTATCTTGCAGCTGTAAATTTCCTATTATCATTATGAATTGTTTTACCACATGAGAAAACATGTGCTTTATGCGTTATCATTCATACTTTCATAGATAGCTGCCCAGTCACATGCTACCACATGCTTCCATATTGTTACAATACAATGACACATATGTTCAGTGAATGGTAAATGGTGTCTCATTCACTGTAGCTAGTTATGGTTTTCAATTTTTCTTGAAATCATGAACTGCCAAGAATTATCCATATGATATCCATTTTTGGATACATGTATATTTCTGTTATTTTTGGTAACTGTCAGTTTAAAATTTACACACATGTAGTCTGATGCTGTTATTTCCATTAGACAAATTGAAATAACATTGTAACTGAACCCTAATGCCCTTTTGACTAGATCCTTTCAGACACTTCAGAAATGTATCCACTGATATAGACTGATTGGTGTTGTTCATTTAGACAGAGGTGTTCAATGAACAGACAGGTGTTCACTGAGACAGACAGGTGTTCACTGAGACAGACAGGTGTTCACTGAGACAGACAGGTGTTCACTGAGACAGAGAGGTGTTCACTGAGACAGACAGGTGTTCACTGAGACAGACAGATGTTCACTAAGACAGAGAGGTGTTCATTAAAACAGGTTTAACTGTATATCTAATCCTCAACAGATCTCAATCTCTATTATCTAGATAAGATGTAAACAGCTCCCTTCCTCCATTGTACTTTAGTTACACAACGATTGGTTATGAAACTTCAACACCCAAAGCTAAAACTACACCCTAGTCATGGCTATTCCTCTCCGAAATAAATAAATAATAGACCATATTCATAGTATTTCTTGGATGATTTGAAGTATCAACTGCCTAAGCAACACCCTGTTTTTTATTTCTTTTTATTTCCTACAAATAAACTCCTTTTTGTTAATTGAAACAGAACCATCATGAATTTTTATGCCCGAGCATAAAATTGTATATAAACCTGAATTTTCAACACATCTCCACAATAACCAGCTCCAAGCTCAAACAACATACAGCAACACAGACAACCTCAACCAACGTGAAGATCAACAAGATGACAAGCAAATTGATGACTGCAACCCTCCTGGTGGTGCTCCCAAGCATCTGCTTAGGCTTCCTCCTTGAGGATATCTTTGGGAAACCCCCTGCAACAGTTGAACGTGTCGAGGTCCCAAAATATCTCGGCAGATGGTACCAGGTCTACTCTAACAACAATCTCTGGAACTCTTTCCTGAGGAATGCCGTCTGTATCACAGCTGACTACAGAGCTATCAACGCAACTACCATCTCAGTACTGAACTCAAACCGTATCAAGACCCCCGATGGCCCTTTGGATCAGATCACAGGATTCGGATACAAGACTGAGACTGAGGGACAACTCTCTGTACAACTAGCTGGAGTCCCAGTGGCAGCACCTTGTAAGTAGATACTTTGGGGATTTCTCTATACTACAGTAGTATACAATATACATGTACAACCAATTACTGTTCCTCATTTTTTCTTTAATGAGCAGATGTCATACTTCAGAATCAAAACCTGGTCAAATCAGCCTAATGAATCAAATTCTCCTATTTGGTTGATAAGGTTTTTGAGGTTTTGTTTTCTGTTTACAAATTTGACTCCAATTCGAAAATCAAAGGACTCTCAGTAACGCAAGCTCATATTTTATTTCAGATTGGATCATCAAGCTTGGACCAGTTGTAAATGGCCAATACCAATACTCCATAGTCTCTGACCCAATTCGTTATGCACTATTCGTCCTCGCCAGAGACCCACAGGAATTTGCTGAGAAGTACGACAAAGAGGTCTTGAGCTACTTGGAAGGAGAGAAATTCACTGACTTTGAAAACAAACCAATGGAGGTGTACAGTGGAAAGGATTGTCTCTTTGCCGATGTCCCTCCACAGTAATACTGAGAACCAACCATATTTATGAACATTTATTTATTTTTTTGTACGTGACCTGATCTGAATAAATTCCATGTAAAGATAATTCAATATTATAGTTTTGGTGACTTTTTGAACATGATGAAAACTGCTACTGGATTACTCAATACCAAAGTTGATTATGCCATTTCAAAACATGATTAAAATCAAATAAAACAGTTAACTTCACATAAATCCATACTAACAAATTAATTAGCTCTAATTTTTACAATCTCTTGATTTTTAGTTTCATTTCATAATTGAATTTAGACGATGGTGTAAATTAAAACATTCCTAAATAAAAAAAATTAAGAAATTGCGATTTTCAATATTTTGGAAAAGCAGGCACCAGTTATGTACAAGCATTACTTAAATATTACACACAAACAATTTACTATGATTCATTTTGCCCTAAATATGACAAATTTGATTTACTGGTATTTGAGTAATTACTCTAAATTGCTCTATTTCATCTCACCAGATCCTGGGCTATAGCGAAATAAGGTTGTCATGACAAAATGCCATCACCTTTTATATTATAGTAAATGGTTACAATTTGCTACAGACACTGACTGATAACCACTGCCAAATATTGAACACCAGTCACAAAAAATGGTAGCTGTAACAATATGTCACAACTTCTTTGTGGTGACATAAAAATATGAATCAAATCTACTTACTTCTATCATCTGAGTCATTGTCGTCATCATTTGGCTCTGAAATAAAAATTTAGGACGTTTGACAATTCATATTTACATCATTTTCTGTTTTTACTTTTTGATAGGCCTACAACTTTTATTCAAAAACTTACTGAACACATTGTGCATGATCTTTCTGCCATTTTTTGTTTGCCCTGGAGAGAGGGATTCAGGATCAGAAATGGGGATCAATGACCAGGAGATGGGACCAAGGGTCTGGATATTAGGGGAAGGGAAAGAGAATGGGGATCTAAGGCCTGGATTTTTAGATTGAGACCCCGAAGATAGGGATCAATGGCAATTTATTTAAGTAACACCAATCAGCTCTACATTGTAGTCAATTATCATTAATTTATGATCATATCATACATAATTTGAGAAGTTTGGCTCAGAAATGGAATTTCAGGAACTTATATACAAATATACAATAAATCACATGCAATATATCACTGTACCACTTCTCAGATATTTGGGGTTGAAAGAATACACAAACAAATGATTTCTAAATTAGTATATACAAATACAGAACGAGCAAATATGCATATCAAATAACAAGCATTTTTGTATTGGATTTAGTACAATAGACATGCATTAAATAAATTATTTTTCAATTTTTAGTCATTTTAGTCCTTCTGTCAACCCCAGTTATTCTGCCATACTAGTGTAGTACAGTATAATGCAATACAGTAATAGTAGTAGAGTAGAACATCTCTGTATGCAGAACACTTCAGAGGCTCACAGCACAACTGATGACTTAATGTTTAATGAATCTCTATAAGTGGGCTACTTTTTAGAGGTACCAAAACTTTCTAAAAGTGTTCAACTTACACAGCATTTACTGTATTTGCATCATACCGGACATCATGGACATACAGAACATTTCCATGTTTTTTCCAGACATGGCTATTGCATATTTCATATTAAGGCATCATAGTCAACATAAAATAACACTAACTAATGACAATCAGTTGAATGCATCATTCAAATTGTGTAAAACATTTCAAGAAAATTGTGTTCTTTAAAATCATGTATTTTAATTACACCATATAATTCGAGATATCATTTTTAATATGATTACATACCTGAAATTTTCAGGCCCCCAAGACTAGAATTGAGCTTGGTGGGGGTCCCTCCTAAAAATTATTATAGTCTGATATAAATGAATTGTGTAAACAAAACCAATTTTCTGGCCATTTGTTAAAATTAGATCATGAATTGTCACTAAAAGTTAGTATAGGTTAATTTGACTAATGCACACAATAATTCAGTGTTATGCACAGCCTCAAGACCCAAAAACTAAACTTTACTAATATACACTGTTGGTCAAATATATGGAATATTATAAGGCATTTCATAAAAATCAGTATGCTGTCTTTATAATAAGAATTATGATTTATTTGAAGACTCAGATGGATTATAAAGTTTTAATTCCTGGGAAATGAAAAATGTTGTTCAATGTGTTTATTTTATTTTTTATGACCATTCTATGAAAAAATATTTGAAAAATCTCCATTCATTAAAATCTAAGAGGGCATTGAAAATGAGGAAATCAATGGTAAATAAATATTCCACATATATGAGCAATGGTGTAAGCCCTCTATTTATTTATATTGGCCTACTACCCAATTGTCTATATATTCTTGAAGATATGTACAAGACTGTATGTGGAGCAGAACATAACACTAACTAATAACTATAAAACTTAAATAAAATTGAAAATGCATTAACCAAAACCATGCGTAAAGAATGTAATCAGGTAATTTTTAATGGTTCAGGCCCGTAGCCAGGGGGGGTTCGCAGGGTTCGGGCGAACCCCCCCCCCCTGGCCAAAAATTCTTTCAAAATCATGCAGTTTTTCACCATTTTGAGCACTTCTCAAGTGATTTTAGCCATATTTGGGCCAAAATTGTCAAATGTGAACCCCCCCTGGAAATTTTTGAAAAATGAACCCCCCCCTTGGCAAATCCTGGCTACGGGCCTGTGGTTTATATTCTATTGAATTAATCTCAAGTTAACAAAAGTATGGCACATTGCCACAACAATTTTGAATTTGAATCTGAAATATTTCTTGTAGCTGGAAAAATATACCTGATATATTAAATACAAAGAAATATCAAGATCAGCTTATCAAATAAAAGACTGGGTTTATATTCCAATGCTGTCCCAAAACATAATCAAAATTTTATTTCAGATTTATCCCCCCTCCCCCAGACTAAAATATAATTGAACATTTAGAGTCATTAAAATCTCCTCGTGTAGCCCCTCCATCCAGATTACATAAGAGTGCATTGATATATCAACCTTGTCTCAAAACCAATGTATTAATTTACAACTAGACTACCTATGTTTGGATTATGTGACATGTAACGAAGGTCCTCATCGAGATCGGGTAATTCATCCTGTTCCAGTACAAAGTGACCAGAGTTGGATGTCGCTGTGCCATAAAAAGACAAATGGAAGATTTTAACCAATCAGAAACAGAATGAAACTTTGAATTCCCTGACTGATTATCTTTTGAAATGCCCATCTGCTTATGCTTATTTTGCTCAATTTCTTTCTAAAATTTGAGCGTGACAATTCTGTATATTTTAGAATGTGTTAACTATTCCTTGCTGATTCCACTCATTTCTACGTAGTCTTCCATTCAAAAACATGACTCCATAACTTCTATGAAATTTCTAAGAGATAATGTTTCTTGGATGAAATGTCAAGTTGGCCATGCTTACTGTTTAAAAAATCTCTAGCAGTACTGGACTATGCTAATTTCTTAGCATTTAACAATATTACTTAGACCTATTATATATTCATAGGTAGTCAGGATTGGAAGATTAATGAGGAAAATGAGACTGCTTTATTTCTATCTAACTTTTGCAACTATTCCTATTTATTAATCCACACTTAGGAATATATTTACAAGTTAATTTAGATATACAATACAATGATTAAAGTCTTTCTTACTTACAAAAGTATGAGTCAATGATTCAGAAACTGTTTGAAAGAATTAAAGGCTCCATGTTAAGTTTGAAATTGTGCTTTTATCATCTGTATACCATCTGCCATGAAGATGGTTTTAGGCATTTAAAAAGGAAGTTGTTCTTATTGTTCTTGTTGTACTTATATTCAAATTCTTTATATATTCCAGAATATTCACCAGTGATTTTGCGTATTTTTCAACTTGCAATACAAAATAGCTAATAATGATAGGCACCAAAACCATTCCCTGTTTATCGATATATAATATGCATGGAGTCTCCATTTTAAAAAGAAAGGTTTCACATATCATTTGACTACAATACAATCCAAAGCCAAACTTTACATGGGGACTTTAAATTGTAAACAGACATTATTAATGAGTTATTTTTGTCTTAGCACTAGAAAAAATAAATAAAACAATAAAATATGAAACAGTTTAACAGTGTAACCATATAGAGTTGCTGGAGCATTGCCCCAAGAGAATCAAGACCATTAAATATTGCAACTGGAATTTCCCGCGGCTAGGCAATATACTGTAAACAGTATTCAAATTAAATGAACCATGCAAGTTATTCAAAGAATAGAACAGAAAAATCTTAATTCAATTTTGAAATGTCTGTCTGCCGTCTGCTCATGTTTTCTTTGATCAATTTCTCTCTTAAATTTGAAAGAAGTGTCTAATTTTGTGAAATTTCTATACAGTTTAGAGTGTTGACTTCATGCCTGTTTACTTTATTTCTTGCTAATTCCTCTCTTTTCAACTCAATACTCAATTGAAAACATGAATGTCAGGGTGACATTCAACTTATTTCTATGTAAAAACCTGGTTGTTTGAAGAGTTTCACTTTCAGGCCTCCCAATGATTCATATTTAAACTCTGCTACACAAAGTAAAATCATGTCATCACTCAGACAGATATGTATTTTTCTCATTTTGAAATCATTAATTTTTTGGTCAAGCAATGAAAAAGCAAAGTCAATTTATTTTAATTTTCATCCCTCATTTCTACATTTATGATTACTGTACATGTGCGACAATAAATTATAAATTGGAGGTAATGTCCTAATATAAGTATCACAGCACTCAGGAAAAGTTGAAAACGAAAAGTTGAAAACTAGGATATGAGTTGAAGAACAAGCATGTGAAGTGTTCAATGAATCGATTAGATCATGGATAATCTTAAATGAAACTCTCAAATGAATGCTCCCAATACAATCTCAAAGTCAATTCACAAAATTGTATGTTAGAGCTGGCACAGTATGGAATGGTGAGATATCTTTTATTCACAATATCTATTCTGACTTTACAAATTAAATAAAACATAAATGCATGTAGCAGTTTCGCCTATAGGATAATACACCGATTGCTTTTTGGAAGTTACTCTTGGAATTTAAAGCTTTAGGGAATCTGCTACAAATAAACTAAATTTAACCAAACTAACCAAAAAATCAGAACCTGGTTTATATTTCCATTCCATGCTATGCCAAGTTGTGAGAGGTAAAACCGAAGGTCTGACATATTGACATATGTAACCCTGTGCAGGAATAAATCTAGAAGATTCTTAATACTCGACATACCTTGAGATTTGCTGTTACTATCATCATCACTCAGGACAATACAATCATCAGGTTCTGGAATATTCTTCACCCACTCTGCCGTCTGCTTGGTAGAAGACTTCTGCTGCTGAATAGACCTGGGTAAAGATTTTGTTTGGTCAATATCATATTTACACATTTTGAGGCAAATTTTGTAATTATATGAATCATCTGTTATGAATCAAACAAAGTAAACATGGACTTAGGTGTCCCGAGAGTTCACATTGACATAATAGAAAATAGAAATACACATACATGCACAAGGAATCATTCAACATGACATGTAGAAGTCAATGTAAATGGAATATTAAATGTACAGAGTGATCCAATATAAAGAGGCAAAGTAAAGGATATGCATCATTTGCAGTTGATATACTGTTGGTGGTATACAAGAATACCCAAAGAGCTAAATTCTTTGCTATGTAAAATCAATACAATGAAACTAAAGACACATTGCGTGATCACACTAAATTCTCCAGATTGTAAAATATAATCTATTGTGAATCTCGAGTTTTGCATTGTTAACATTCATTCAGCATATCCCTGTAAATGCCACGTAAGATTGTCACATTGAAATGAGTAATACTCACCTTTCTAATACTCATAAAGTCTAAGTCTAATATACAGCCTCAGATGTTCATTTGACAAGGCAAAATCTTAATACTGGGCAAAATCCTAATAATGTAAATGCATGAAGGCTGTGTATTGGACTTTATTATATTATATCACTGTCATGTTCCTCATTCTTTGATTGGCCCATGTCCTACACGTGACATCCATTGAATATCAAATGATATTCACCAGTCAGGACTTTTAAAGTCCGGTGTAATTTCAATTACATATATATCCCCGGGAGTGCTTGTTATGATTAATTAGACATCAATAGTTTGTTATTCCATTAATGTGAGTGAGGAATATAACAGCGAATAACAAAACAAATATTTAATTCTATTTTCAGTGAATACCTTTGACACTTTCACAAGATGATATTCCACTCGCCCTTTGGGATTCGTGGAATATCACTTGTGAAAGATGCACAGGCATTCACCTCAATAGAATCAAATAGTTGTAAAATATGCTCATATATAGCTACAGGGATGTATAGACAATCATAAGATGTAGTTTAAGTCTATTTGAGTCTGTTTAGCACAAATATTTCTTTAAAACTGAGACAATTTGGTGAGTTCACTTGGTGAAAAGCTGATTTCTCCAAAATGTAGCAATAGTAAGTGAAAGGACTCTTATATATATGGATGTACGTAGTGGTTCAAACAAATGTTTTATTTGTCAAGAACTTGTTGACCAATAGACAGAAGAATGGTCAGACAAAATAGCAAAAATAGCGACAATTCCAAGAGAGAAAATATTCTTAATTCTTGGAATAAAATATTTTGAAATTCAGGATTTTTGGTTAACCAGATATATATTGTTAAACAGACATTGAATTTATGAATGCCTAGTATTAAGGTGCCAGGTGGAATTTATTGGGAAATGCCATTAATCTAATATATGATCCAGCTTACCCATGCAAAAGTATCATGGCAGTCAACTCATTCATAGGGAAGGAAGGGGGACATGTTACTGATTCTAAGAAACTACCACTTAAAATGAAAGTGATTCATTTCAGTGAAGTACCAAGTTTGGCCTACTAAGCAAATTATCAATAATGTTAGATTGTTACCAATAATATCAGAATATTGAAGATTAATTTCAATGGAACTGACTGCCATGATATCTTTAATGTTAAACCTTGCTCAGCATACATGCTACCATATCATCTTTCAAAAATTGGAAGTGAAAGGAGAAAATCCATTTTCAAATGATTTATGTTTATTTGAAAGAATAGATTCCCATAAATTTTAGAAGAACGTTTTTTTTTGCGAAAATTGAAACCATTGGAGTGAAGTTGGATAATTGTATTTCAAATCTTGCCCTTAGTGCACCCTTTATTTCTTCTTTAAATGTTAGACCTCTTGTATAACCTTCAAAATCTATTTCAATAATATTAATGAAACTAACCATGCATCTTTATCTTGAGCTGAACTATTTTCTGGATTCCTTTTCAGTAGAATCCTGTCCAATTTATTGGAGGATTCTTGGGGCCGTCTGCTTTGCCTGTAAGCACAGACATTTTCCATGAAAAATCTGAAATCTTCGGTCACATTTTTTAACTTCATTTCCCTCAGAGATTTGAATAAGAATTTTGATATTTCATTTTCTTAGATTTCATTTATCTAATATTCAATTTAATAATACTAAGTGTGTCAATCATATGCCATTGTATTACATACCATGGTAATTCCTTGGTTTACACTGTAGTATTATTATTTGCCACTTTTAATACATGACACAAAATGTTTATTGCACTCACATTCTCCTTAAAATTGATGCAAGTGTCCGATTGTTTTTTTAAAAAATTTTACAATTTAATGTATTACCTCACTACTTAACCAATTTCTTTCTTTCAAAAGTTCAAATGTTTCCAATTTATTTTGAAATTGAAGTGTATGTCCATAACATAAATTATTGTTATTCAGCAATATATAGTTATACAGGTACAACATCAAATTGTCCACACATTGTGCTACTACAAATCATACTTTAACAAGAAAAAAGAAAAAGAGAAACACAATTTATATTAGAAGCTAGCCTATAATGCTTTTTTAATAACTGGCAGCTTTATTGAGTATTGTAATTACATGAATTATAAATAAATATAAATAAAAAAAAGCTTAAAATTTATATTAGAAATATAATCACATTCATATAGAATTATGTGAGATGTGAGAAACTCAAAATTGTTTTTTCTTTAATAATATATTTGTTTCTTTATGAAATATTTTTGCTTTTTTGATGAAATGGTTAAGCAAATGAATTAACAGCAAGCATTAGCAAGAGAACATCACTCCAACACCTAAGCTAAGAATTAGAGGTAAGGATATCAATCATGTACAGAAGGAGACTAAATATACATAGATATACATTTAGATTTTATCTCATGAAGATAGTTCCTAGGACAAAATATCCTTGTTTTTTATATTATCAGGTGGATTATTTCCAACTTGTAACATAACAAGAATTTTCTTTACCACTTGCATGAGCAAACAGAAAATTGGGATGGAGGAAAAGAGAAGGGAGTGAAAAATTTGATCCAAGACAATATGTGAACAGAAAACAATGCAATTATGTATGATGATAATACAACAATACAACACACACCACTACAAGCGATAATATATGTAAAAGCACATCTAGGTAAAAAAAATGCCCAGTCACATTGTACAATTGGCAAATAACTTTTGAGAAAAATTAAGCTGATAAAGCCTTTAAAATGTTCAGTTATTTCTTTAGATATGTATAGAATATGCTACGATTTTGAGGAATATCATTTTCATGTTATCTACGAGTTGATATCAGTATCTGCACAAATGAGTGCAAAGAATAAGTACAGATGTTGAAAACAACAAGTGAATAAAATTCCATCACAAAAAACTCATTGGATATGATATTTATCTTATAGTGCATCCATATAATCAATGATGCATATCATGTTTTTTCATTGCATGAGGCTCACTAGAATCATTATATCATATAATCAATGATGCATATCATGTTTTTTCATTGCATGAGGCTCACTAGAATCATTATATCACATTGCACAACAGTGGCCAGACTTTCCCAAATCTGTGGAAAAAATAACCTTCAAATATTTTTATATTTGATATTTTCCATGTTAAACACATATTAGGTTGTTCCATACATTTGAAAAATTAAAGAACATTGATATGAATATATGTTACCATACAGACTTGATCTTATCTGTGGGATAAGCTCCTTTATCAGCTTAACTGCTTTAAAGTTAATATATTTCTGCTTCTACAAAAGGCCCTCACATTTAAATTGTTTGTTTAGCTGGATTTTTTTCAATAAATACCCAAATAAGACACTGCTAAACAGACAATCAATATGGAAGGGCCTAATTCCAATGTACAAGAGCCAGATAGAGGGCAGCCAATATATTCAATGAAATCAAACCTTGGGGAATTTCGAATGCGAGTATCTCCAGACTCAGATGAATTCCTATTCTTATCCTTGAGATATTTCCTGCCATCAAATGTGCTAAAATAAAATACGTGTATATGCATATTAGGATCTCAATGAATCTTGTCAAATGAGAGAAAATAAACAAGATTATCAAGAGTAAAATTCCCCATCATTTCTAGGCCAAATATTATTTTCCAGCTCTGATACAAAATTTTACATTTTAGGCTTTTTGCCTAATTTCAAAGCTCCCTCACATTTCCAGCACTAAAAACCCTATCAAAGCATAGCATACATTCTCATACTCATCCCATTGCTCTGTTTTGCCACCACATGATGTTCTATTACAATGACATGGACTTATCTATTAATAAAGCTTAATTAAAATACCTTAAATATCTTAAATATATTTTTTATTCCTTTGAGTCTTGTTAAGTTCAATTATATTTCTTACTTTACATATTATGATACAGCTAGTTATAATCTGGACCTTCAACATTCCCGGAGGGTTCAGATTAAACAGTGTTTATATTCTATTATAATGTATATAGTGATGTATTAACTTATATTAAGCAATTTTGACCTTCAATTTATTCCTCAAAAATTAAAAAGTTACTATGAAATTTTTAACAGAATATTTTTGGGATACCAGCTCATCTATATAGAATCTATTTCTTTATAGGAGGTGCTGGAATAATACACATGATGAAATGAGAATTTAGAGCAGGATTTTTGTGATGGCCCCTGAAGGGACAAAAGAAAACGTGACTCTACAGTGAACAGAATTGTTTCCAGTTACCTGTCAGATTTGTTATCAGATGGCATACTTTCATCTTCATCATCATCTGAACTTCCTTCATCGTCAGGATCAACCACATCACTCTCATAACCCTCCTGTAATACCAAAATATATTCAAGGCATTAAAATGCAAAATATCATCACCTGCCATTTGTTACAGATGGCATACTTTCATCTTCATCATCATCTGAACTTCCTTCATCATCAGGATCAACCACATCACTCTCATAACCCTCCTGTAATACCAAAATATATTCAAGGCATTAAAATGCAAAATATCATCACCTGCCATTTGTTACAGATGGCATACGTTCATATTCATCATCATCTGAACTTCCTTCATCGTCAGGATCAACCACATCACTCTCATAACCTTTCTGTAATACCGAAACATATTCAAGGTTTTAAAATGCAAAATATCACCACCTGCCATCTGTTACAGATGCCAATCACCAACTGCCAAACACCAGCCACAAAAAAGTTGGGAGACTAACAAAATGCTGAAATCCTGAGAGTGGGTACTGGTGGGTATGTAAGGCAGACGGAACAGTCCACTTGGACAAATATCAGTTTTATCATTTTGATACTTAGACCACCTCTACCTTGCAAAAATTGTACCATGGGGGACTGACAGTTGATCTGTTGAGTTATTACAATGCAGTTTAAATATCAATTTTAAATAAACAAAGAACTGTTATGATAAGTCATCAACCTTAACAATGACATCACTATAACAGCATTATTATTTCTCGAATGGATGCAAAATTCTAATTTTCACAATTTTGAAAGTAAAAGTACAGTAAAATATGTTTATTTTTAATATTTTTCTCATTTTCAACTCAAGGCACATAGGGTTTCAAACTCCCTATTGGTTGCAGCGTACTGCATCACTGCTGAGCAGATCACTGCTATGTTACATTTCTAAAATGTCTTACCTTTAAGTTCTCTACCACTTCAATATGATCTAACTCAGCTAGATATTCATCTCCATACTGGTGACCATCCTAGAAAGCATGGACATGTATAAATTACATTAGAATGAATTGTCCCATTGGTCTCATGGTTTCAGTTCCTGAATAATGAAAGGGGTGGTGTTACTTTGTGTGTTAAGTCATTGTTAGACATATATGGAGTTTACTTTCCATGTAATTGGTTATACATTTAGATGTTCCCTTTTCTTGTTGCGTTCTGAAATACTCATTGTTTCTCATTTTGGGATTTGTGATATTACACATGTAAATCAAAACAAAGCCATGAAGTAAAGTGAATGGAAAGAATGAAGATTACAACATTTTTGTTTTAAAAAAAGAGATTAGTACCAAAAACATAGATTCTGAAGAAAATTCATTTTCCTACCTCATTAGCACCTTGTTCAGTTAGCAATTGTCCAGCGTATATACAGATAAACCCCCCAGCTTGAATGTCATCTAAACACCGGAGACCCCAACCTCTATAAAATAAATAAACTACTTTATTATATGAAATACATAAATACAAAATTAACTTATGAATTAAACTATTATCATATTTGGTTTTGTGAACAAGGAAATCTTTTATTCATTTGTTATTACCTTTTTTCAGTCTTAAATACTTGAAGTCTGAGGGAGAGAGGTTGCTGGGCAACTCTATTGTTGCATCTGCTGTTGCATTTACATCTAGAGTTGCATTCATATACACTGAAACACAACGCATAAATAAAAATATTTAAAACAAACATAACTCTCGTCTCAACTCTTATATTCTGAGAGATTGCCAGTCTGTATGCACCATTTGTTGCATACAATGTAAAAGCTCTAAACTAATTTTATACAATAGCTATAGTGACTTACCCATTAGCAATTGGTATATTGGTAGCCAGTCTGTGAAAAGTTACACTTTTACCATTTGCTGCATACAATGTAAAATCCCCAACGAAATTTCATACTCGCTATATTGACTTACCCTGTAACAAGTGGTTCATTCAAGCATCTATATTGGTAGCCAGCATTGGGTTTCACATCTCCACCTGTTGCTTTGGTTGCATGCACTGTTAATTGACAGCATGAACATTTCCTTGGGTCCTGGAAACAGTGAAGTTACAAGTTATGATCATTAAGTACATGTAAATTCATGGGGTCCTAGAAACTGTACACTTTAATACATAACGTTGAAATGAAAATTCATTTTCAATTTTCTAGTTATTGCAATGGGTCAAAGTAATGTAAAATGAAAATCTCTCTGAAAAAATATAAACCTGTCAAAAGCATTGTACAAAGAGGACCAGGGTACTTAAAGAATGCATTTTTAGACTCACCGAACAATTATCTGTACAATCACAACCAACTAGGAAATCAGGGTCCAGATTTAATGCAACACCTTTAGCTGGTATTCTAACGTTTGAGTATTCAACATAGTCTGGATATTGCCTGTCTATTCCATTCACACATGATATTGGAACACTTTCTTTGCCATAGGACAGATCTTTGATATCACAGAAGGTCTGAAATTAAGAGTTAATGTTACTTAATGTCTGGAAAGAATGAACTGTTGTTACAGAATACCAAAAGTGGGCAAATAATTTTACACAATGTACGAAAACAATAAATTGATGTTGCATGATTTTTTATATATATATATATTTCTTTTTTATTCACATTTTAAATACAAATCAATGTTTTAAAATACAGTTAACCCTACAGTTGATAAGTAACTTTTCAGCAAATATCCATCAACTTAAAAACTACAATTGTCAATCAAAAAAATGACAACCTATTCACGACTAGGAAGTGTTCATTACCTTTAGAGGAACAAATTCACTATGGGTGTGTAAATAAGGGTCAAAACAGAACATATCTACAGTCAGAAGGCAGTCTGTGACCCTAAGGTAGTAATCCAATTCTTCCATACTGCGGATTCTACGACCACAGGGAGCCCTATAGAAAACCTGCCTTCTCCCAACTTTCTGCATTTTTCCTAGTTGTCTGAAAATAGTGGATGTAAAATTGCAAAAAACGGTAAGGTATTTAAAATGCTTTCTCAAATATATAAATTGAGCGAAAATCTTAAGTTCAGTTGTTCGACAACAAAATGTCTTGCATAATCATGGTACATGTACATGTAGAGACTATTATATAATATTCTGACTTTTTTTCAAGTAGATTGAAAAGTCTTATTTTCACAATTTTTACTATATTGATCAACATATGCCAGTTTCTCATGATTTTTTGTTCTCAATTTAAGAGTTCAGTACAAATTGGTATTTGGGTGAATGCAAGTCTATTTGCAAAATTCCATACTGTGGTGATCAATGTGTTCTACTGTAGGAATAATTTATCTTCTGTTTGGATTCTCATGATTTTTAATTACCTTTCCCAGCTGCACATCATTGGAATAATGAGAGGGTTGTTTCCTCGAAACTTAACAGGATCCTGCTGGTTTTTAGAACAACCTTTTGAGCAACGATGATGTCCTGAAACACATGACATATGTTAAAACAGGCTTTAAACAACAGTGGTGTCCTGAAATGTTGAACCTAACATAAGGTTGAGCACTTTACTGGAGTTTTACAACCTATCAGCCTGCATGAAGAGTGCTAGTCTTTTAATAAGCCCTCGTGTTAGTCCCTTAATCTTGCACTGGGCTCATGTCTTGCTCCCCTTCCCTTCTCTTGCAACAGTTAAGAAAGTTAGGTAATATATATGGTCATTAAGGACTTGAGAATCTGTTAATGAAATGGAGTAGAACGGTGACTATTCATAAGTAATAACACAACGATGAATCCAGTATGTTACAAACCAATAAAAGGCAGTTCCAGACTCACTGTATAATTTTCTGTTTGCATTTAGCTGTGGGTTCCTCTGCAAGATGCTCTTGCGCTCGCCCATAGATTCATCATCTGGAAGATAAAATGCATCAGCCTTAAGATATGAGTCAGAAATTCTGTTTCAAATTGAAGATAACAGAAGAGTAAAATTATCAAGGAAACATCTAACTTAAGCAAGCAGCTTAACCAGAAAATACAATACAATAAGAAATACAGCAGAATAGTTTCCCTCTATAATATGCCTTCCTTAGAGCATTTTCCCATGAACTTATTGAATGACCTGGTATGCCCATACACTTACCCACATCTGGATTTTCTCCAAGTCTGTCTTTTAGAACACTTGCTATATCTTTGGTGGCAACACTCTCCATACTAAGACTAGTAGTAAATCCAGCTGGTTTGCTTGATAATGGACCTGGTCGAACTTTTTGCCCAGCTGTACTTTTTTTGGCAACATTCATTCCAGATTTCTTTTTCACAGGTGGATCTGTCTTTGCCACAGGAGCTGAAATATACATATATGTCATATATTAAACAAGGCATTACCATGCAAAATGTCACCATCTGTCATTTGTTACAAACACCGACTGTTGAACATCATCACAAAAAATTTGGAGCTTATAACAATGTCACCAGTTGTGGTGGTGACAAAAACAGACCCATAAAAACATACAAACATGTACATAGTTGAAATGTAGAAAATATGGTAGTAAAATGAGAATGTATACCTTATTTTTGAATAAATTGTCCTATTACTAAAATTTCTACACAATTCAGTGTTGACTGCATGCTTATTTACTGAATTCAAAACTAATTCCAGTATTTTCCATTTTTATTTCTATTTTAAAATATAACCCCCATGACATATTTTAGATTTTATCAACCTTCGAAAGAACTGACCTTTAACCTCATCAACTGACTCTGCTTCCCCTCTGGTGTATTCAACGAATGGTTTCTTATTGCTTTTAATATGTGGCACATGTCTTCTGGCCTTAGCACCCATGCTCTTAGAATGCTCAGCATTAGACTGAAATCAAAAACAAGGAATTTAAAAAGAATCATCAAAAATATAATCTTGGTATCATACCCTGATAGATAGCAGGATCATATACGATTCAATTTTTAATGGCTCATTTAAAGTAGAATAAAATAAATTAAATAAAAAAAGGAAAACCCTGAAATTTGCAAACGTTGGTTGGATTTTTTATCTTCAATGGCAAAAATGCTTTTAAGAAAAAAATGATCACATTATAGCACTGGAGGATGTGATAAAAAAGGTTTTAATCAGGGACGCTGCAGTAAAACAAAGCAAACCATACACTCACCAATTCTGTATAGAGTGGTTCTAGTCTTGTTGAGCCTCTGTAGATCCATTCAACACGTCTGTCAGCATCAAAGTACATCTTCACCAGACTAGCATCAACCTCATGTACCTTGGCTGTCCACCATGCCCCATTCCATTCAGTTTTGATAATCTGACCTGCTTGAAGTCTTACCATGGGGCGCTATTAATGTGAAGTTTTTATTTAGATTAGTTTCTAAATGGTGGAGGCGGGGGTATTAGACACCTCCATCGTATCGTTGCATTGTAGGATGGATTTCTAATATGCTTTGGTATGCTGGAGTATTGTTTCCTAATGACCTGTTGTGCTATTAAATCTTCCTTTTCTATATGTATTCTAAAATATTTTTGGTCTTTAACATTTATTATGGTATATGTGCTTTGGAGTTTCATCATAGCACAATGTCAAAGATGAAAGTGTAGATATTATAATCTGCCTATGTAGAGCCTCTTTTAGGCAGTCATATGAGCTTGCCTGAGGATCAACATTGAAATCTTGGTTAAAACAGTTCCTAGAGAGATGAACATTGTATGATGTACATACCTCTGGGTATTGTGCTAAGTAGCCTTTGATGAAATCCTGAGAGTCTGGATGGATGTCTTCCCAAACATTCCTGCTTTGTTCATACACCTTGTGTATTTCTTTCATGCTACAGTACTGGGCATAGCCATCATCAAAGAACACCAAATACCTGAGATATATATAAGAAATACAAGTAATAAATGTATATTCTTGTTTTGTTCATAAAAAATGTGTAAATAATATTCCATGCCAAAGTATTGAGCGTAGCAATTATCATAGAACACTAAATACCCGAGTTACTTTTGTGAAAATGTCATATCTATGTATACCTGTATCTGTTCGTGACGCTTGGAGGTTCTGCGATGATACCAGCATAATGGGACTTCCCTCCATCATCATCTTTGTACAGGGCTGGAAACACAATGTTTACATGTCACAAGTGCCATGTTTAAACAAGTAAAATGCCAAGTAAATGAATGGAATCAACCAGGAATACTATATACAGGTGTGTATTACACACTTTAAATTCCAAGGAAATTCAAAGTGAACATTTGTGAGCATGAAGTTACTGTTTAATCATAGGGGTCAGCATTGTAGTCACGTTAAGGTTGCAAACAGTGGAAAGCCTCTTGCTGTACATGTACTAAGAAGCCACACCAGTTTGACTACCCTGGGTTATGCAAAACTATATTTGATCAGCCCTATAGACCTATAGCCCTCAACCCTATAAAAATATATCAGTATACATACCACATATTCTACTGCCTACAATAATGCCTACACTTGGTTTATCAGCCAGGGCAATATCTTTCCCAGTAAGCAACTTCACACCCTTTGAGTCATACTTTACTTTGTATTTTCTCTGGAAATATACACATATTAAGATTAATAATATACAAGGGCATTTTTTACAAATCTAGTTTCTAAACAATGTCTATTCTCACAAAATGGCTATTTATTTCAATTTTGTTTTTAGTTTTGTCAATGTTAAATATTTTACTTTTTATTATTGCTAAAAAAACTAATTCAATACATACACATAGTGTGGGTCTTGGGATTTTTCTATCATTTGCCAATTGGTATTGTGTTTTCACACTCACCAATGAAAAATTACACTCGCCATAGTGTTGCCACTGATGATGAATTATATGTATACTCACAGTTTTCTAGTGAATAAAAATCTTTAAAAAGAAAGTAATATGTTTATGAAAGTACATAAAATTAGCTTTGTTCTATAATATTCAACAAAGGCGAATTTCATGTTTTTAATATTCGACAATGTGACAAGGCACTTCAATTTCACACTAGACTCTAAATAAATCCGCCCAGGGCTACTGTCGAGTGGATATGACCCACACTGACACAGGGTGTGAATGACTCAAGTCTTACCAAATCTAAAGTTTTTCCTAGTCCTATTATTTCAATGAGGGTCCCTTTATACCAGACATCATTGTTTTTCCTTGCATACAGCTTCATTCCTACAGTCAATTCTCTGCAAAATATTCAGCAACATTTAACTATTCAAAATTTGATTAAAGACTTTATTCTTAAGTTGATCTGCTGATTACTTCAAAAGATCTTATACTCATTTCATTTCTAATAATTCAACACTTACTTATTATGGATACCAATTTACACTTAAATATCACTCCCATAATTACTGATACCAGCTTATATACCCTTGCTTCCTGACCTGACACATTTTCACAAAAAAATGCTCACATGATTCTAAGTGGAGGTTTAGACTGGAGTTCATCACAAAAATATATGTTTGAATGATTTTAAGTGGAGGTTTAGACTAGGGTTAATCACAAAAATATACATGTACAGTAAAACCTGTATATCTGAACACCTGGCTAATCCGAACACCTTCCAATTTGAACACTTTTTTTCGGTCCCATTTTTTCCTCCCATTGACTCCCATGTTAAAAAAACCTTGAAATCTGAACACCTCCTAATTTGAACAGTGAACAACCAGATTTGAAAAAGTGACCTGTCTAATCTAACATTTTTATCAGAAATCAAATGTCTGGACATTTCAATTATAGCCAAATATTGAGTCAATGTTATAGTTGTTATTTATCTTTACATATACAATGTAATCAAAGAACCAATATTGTCCTAACTAACTTATTTAGTCTCAGTGACATCCCTAATTTGTGGAAAACAACAGGATGTTTTGGAAAGGTGTGAATACAGGAGTTTATTGGTTTATCCTTATTGTAAATTAACTGGATGTTTTTGATTTGGATTATGAACAGGTCTTGACTGTTTTATATCCCATGGGTCTGTTATGATAGCTAAGATTCAATCACCAAATGTTTTATAATCACAAGGACAACATAGACGACATTTGCAGACAAGATTTAGAATAGATCTGAACGTTTTTGATTTGGATTAAGAGAAAGGTGAGAATCTGGGAGATAATTGGTTTATCCTTATTGTAAATTAACTGGATGTTTTTGATTTGGATTATGAACAGGTTTTAACTGTTTTATATCCCATGGGTCTGTTATGATAGCTAAGATTCAATCAGCAAATGTTTTATAATCACAAGGACAGCACAGACGACATTTGCAGACAAGATTATATCACAAGAAAGAGAAAAAAATTCAACTTTGTAATATCCTATCACTAAAATGTCTCCTAAAAGGCATACATCTGACATCCTGAATGCCCTTGATATTTTGAAGGATTATACATCATCTCAAATGAACACTCATGAAAAATTCTTTTTACTTGAAGAGGATATCTACTCAAATATTGCTAATGCTAAAAGTGCCAAGAAACAAACAACAATGAAGGACTTTTTCAAGCAAAAGTAAAGCAGTGCTATATTACCATAATATGGGATAAGTCATTTGATAAGCATAAGATTTCATACGAGACTATCATATACTTTTACAGTGTATTGCAAAGTTTTTGCCAAAATATAAGAGTTATCTTTACTAAAATGATGATATTGTTCAAAATATAAATAAAACATAGCATATAGGCCTATTGTAGAATTAACACATCAGCAACATTTATTGTTTTCTGACTTAGTATTAAGTGTTCAATATAGGTGGACTGAACAATGAAAATCCCCCCCCCCCCCGACCAACAAAATCCTCGAAATTTGAACACCTGCCAATTTGAACGCTTTTGGCTGGTCCCGTGGGTGTTCGGATTAGACAGGTTTTACTGTATACTCAAATAATCCTCAATTGAGGTTTAAACTAGGGTTCATCACAAAAATATACAAAAATGTATGTTTGAATGATTCATAGGGTTCATCATAAAAATATATACTCACATAATCCTCAATAACCCAGATGCTAGTAGAAATAATCTTGATTTACGTTACGATTTACATATTTGAAATCTACATGTAAAATTACATCTAGAAATGTGGTTTTAAAAAGTGTTTATCAACTTTGAAAATTTAATTTTCTTTGAAAATGTGACTTCTAGCTCGGGGAGATTCCCCATAGACACAAATCACAAAAAATGAAATATCTTTTCTTTTAGTGGACAGATAATATTTTGCTTTCCTGGACATATTTTCATTAGTATAAGTATCAGACACATAAGGGTTATATGAAAATTGAGCCACTTAAATTGATAATATTCAAGTTTAAGGGAACTTTCTGATATACCTGCCATGTTAATTGACCCGAATCAGCCACCTGGTGGTGAAACTGGTAACTACCTACTCGCATTTGGGTAATTGAGGTTTAGACTAGGGTTCATCACAAAAATACAGGGTGGGCCAAAAATGCGCCACTTTTTTTTTCAAGACAGTACAACTTTTTTATTTTCCAACCTACATACTCCAAATTTTGCAGTTATATAGTGCCAGGGGTTCTGAGTAATAATATAATGTAACAAGTCCTTCAACTTGCATCATATTCCATCTAAAAGAGGAGTTCAATTGGTTCACCACCCTATTTGATGATATATTTTGGTTTTAGTTGCCTTGCTGATATAGCAGTATTAATGAAATGTTAGCTAAGTTTTAATCAACCTGTCTTAATTGCCAGCTTTAGTTGAGCATTTTTTTTAGATTGGATGCCTTCATACAATCTCTTGAAGACCTCCCCATACCCTCTATTCACTGGGGTTTGCATCAGGGCTATTAGCTTGGCGATAATCAGGCCGTATCAGTTCAGGAACATTTTGCAAATTATGCTTATTTCTCATTGCACACCACATGTTTAAGTAAGATGCTGGTGACATATTTTATTCAAGTAAAAGTGTACAATTTATGATCCATGCCTAGATAACAACCTCAAGTTTCATTTGGTATGCAAATTATGATTTTGTATCAAAAATTTTAAAAGTTATAGCATTTTGACGATTGCAAATCATCAATTGAGGTTTAGACTGGGGTTCAACATGGAAATATATACTCACATAATCCTAAGTGGAGTTTTAGACTGGGGTTTAAGCACTGGGTTCTTCTTAGGAGGAGGTGGGGCAGATTCTTCTTCTAGTGGGATGATGTCATCATTAACATTTGTATTAAGTTGAACTTGCTGTAATGTCTAGAAAATATATTTAAATGTTAAATAATAATGGGATAAATAGTATGTCAAGGTTAGTGACCTCTGATTATATGCTATTTGCATGGTTAATAAATCTTGATATACACTAACTGAAATCAATTTACTCCTGGTAATGGTGAATACCGCCAGATATTCAATGGCTGTCTAGTTTGATGAGCATGGTCAGTTAATATCACTTGACCTTTCATGATATGTAACCTGGGTTTGACCAATCATCAAACTGCAAGTGTAACAGCACCATAATTAAAAGTATCAAAAATAAACCTCAGGCAATGACCAGTTGACCAATTCTTAGTCCTGCTTGAGTTGCTAAAGATCCAGGTCAGTAGACAGGATTTGCCAAGAGGGGGTTCACTTTTTGAAAAATTCCACTGGAAAAATTTGAAAAAATTTGAGAAATTCCACTTTCAAAATCACTTAAAAACTGCTCAGAAATCGTGAAAACTGCATGATTAAGAAAGAATTTTTGGCCAAGGGAAGGGAGGGGGTTTCAAGCCTGAACACCCCTGGCTACGAGCCGGAGGTTTAACACTAAATTCAGAAATGTATGTGTAGTACAAGTATATTGCCTCACCTGTATAGATGTTACGGGTTGAGTACCAGGCCTATAAAAGAGAACTAATTGGTGAAATAATTACACATTGAAAAGGCAAATAAATAAACAATGTTGACTCTTTTACCAGGATTAAGAAAAAATCATAAGGGACAAGACATGTTTGGAAATCATAAATGAAAATGACATGCATAAGGTATCATTTCAAAAAGAACCAACAAAATTCTACAAGTATTCCATTTTGAAGACTGTTAGTTCACATCTTCAGTGCAAAAATTCTTTTTTTGTTTTCATAGTTCTTTAAAAACATGATTTGCATATCAATGAGAAATGAAACAGAATTAAACAGCAATCACTAACAAATTCAATTACATGTGTATATAAATTACGTATGAGATGGTGCATGAAATGAGAGACAATCCTGGAATTAAAAAAAAATCATGTACACATACTTGCGAATAAGTTTGACCAAAGTTTGTTGCTGGCCCTGTTGGGGCTGCCTTGGTGAAGGGGGGAGTCGAGGTGACTTCTTAGATGAGGGAGGTTCATAGATCGAAGCTTCTATGATCTGTATTTCATCATCACTATCTGATACAGACTCCACTTCAGCTTGTCTGCAAATATAAATCATGTTCATCAAGTACAGTTCACACACAAAACGAGATGATATTGGTAAATTTAGAAGTATAATACAACATGTTAAATTATTCTTCTAATCCTCAAAATAAAGAATGGGAGTGTATTCCTCCTAGATCCTCTTTAACTAATTTAGTAATTTTAATCTACACTCACTGTTTTGCTAACTCCTGTTCTGCTTCTAATGCAGCTTTGAATTTTTTCAGGTCTGTTTCTGCTCTAGCAAATACTTTCTTCACTTCATTATTTTTCTCTGTAAAATAGAATGTGCTTTTCAATAGTATGATAAACTCCAAAGTAAACAAAACTGGCATAAAAAAAGAAAACGTGAAACTGCAATATAAACCAAATGAGTTGATCATATTTTTGCAAAAACACTTTATCAAAATTGTTATTCAAATCAGTTGCAAAATCTCTGTTAAAGAAGACCATTTTGGTTGGCCACCACTGGATTCCTCTTACTACACTTTACTTACTCTCTTGTTGTTTAACTTGATGTTCCAGATCTGTGAGAACCTCTATTTCTTTCTCTAGGTGTTTAGGTAGCTCTGCCTCAATGGCCTTGTTTACCTCTTCCACATCAAAGTCTAACACAATAAGATCATCATCGCCTAAAAATACAAACACTGATCTGTGATCTGTCTCAGAATACCGCATTTGCCTTTATGTTTCAACTTTCAGCAATGAACTTATTAACATATATAAGTCTCTTACCAAAATATTATTTTTCCTACTCAGGCAAGACCAAAACTTGGAGCTGGAGCTCCCCTAAGACATGCTTTCACTGGTATTGGTATTCATACCCTGGCCAAAATACTCTTCACCAATGGAAATGCCCATCACTGGCATTTCTAAAGAAACATACAATCTAATCGTGCCTGTATAAATATTCCATGATACTATTGCCTTTGGTACTGTTTTGCATTTTTTTAATTCATAACCCACGGCGTTGTTCTGATGCCTAGTTGTTTTGCACAACCATTTTTGTCATAGACATACATGTATCTAACACTATGGATTTTGTTGGTGTTTTGAATTCACAAGTATTTTTCCTCTTAGTTGTGCAAGTTTGGTCAGATTTCAAAAATAGATCTTAGAGAAAATTGACTTTTAATTTCATCTATTTTTTCAGTGGGAAATTGGTGGGAGTTGAGGTATAAATAATGTACTGAGCGTGAGGACCCCTAAAGAAGCACGTCGAACCCCAAAAAGGACTTGATACAACTTCCTGTGCGAAAAGTGACTACCCATGAAGCCAAATTTGGCTCATATTTTCCATGCCTCATTTTATGTATAATATTAAATCATTTTTGTAAGTTACATGTTATCTGTCTACTGTTGTGGAACTTTTGCCACCTGTTTCTAATACAAGTGAAAGGGCTGTGAAATAACAACTAACCAATGGGACGCTTTGATGTTTGTTGCTGGAGGAACTTCTCAAAGGCAATATACGATTGGTCGGTCTCCCACGCCATTATCTCAGGCTCTTGCGCCATCTCTGCAAAGATAAACAATGTTGAATGTGATTAAGTAATAAAAAAAACGTAAAGGCTAGAGTACCGACAATTGTCGGTACTCTAGACTCTGATGTGGTTGCACGCTAGAGGACCGACAAATAAATTGTCGGTACGGCAGATATGCTGTGTTTACACGCTAGAGGACCGACAAATATTGATTTTCGCATTTTCTGGCGCATGCGCAATGGGCGGGGGATATTTCAGATATCATACGGATATTTTGGGAACAAGTGCAAAACCCGGGGAGGGCATTAGCCCCGGTTACCCGGGGATTACCAAACCCAGTCAAAAAATGGTAGCCCGGGAACAGGGAATGGTAGTAAACGTTGAAAACCCAATAAAAACACGAACAAGTAAGCCGTTAGAGAGCTATTAATGCAGAGTAAACGGCTATATATATTCGTAACAGACAGGATATTTCTCCTGAGCCGATCAGGCGTAGAAAGGGGCGTTTGCTACCCATCAGATAGAAGAAAATACTAGTAGCTAGAATGTTTTTTATTTGAAGCTTATCGTATGGTATGAGGTTCCATATCCATCCGCCAATATAGTCCGCCTATATAATCCATTTAAAAACCTGTGGTATCGTTCTAAATAACCCATAGTTGGCTTCTAGGGTACCTAGTATGCTACTATTTGGTATCAAAATAAAGAGGAGTTCAACTTTCATTTGAATTACGAAAATAGCGATGTAGGTCAAAATAGTTCCGAACGTGAGCATGTTTACTACACGTTTGCCCGTAATATCAGAATTGAGGAAGTGGTAGCAAACGCGAGTTACAATAAACGGACGCTGATATCTCAAAAGTAACCTGACTCCCTATAATTTGATGTAGGTCAATCGAACCCCTATATGGACAGGTGCATTTTGATATATAACACTATGGGGGGTAAGCGTTTTATAGTTGGTCACGAACGCCATATGTGCAAAGTATTGTTATGAATTTTCGAATTTGGTGTTGGATTACGGTACCCATACCTTATAGCACAATTTTTGATGGAAGTTGCATTTGGCTCCCTTAGTTAATGGCCACGATTCAATCTCGCATGAGAGAGCTACCAAACGCAAAGTAAACAGTGATATATTCCAAATGAGATATTTCTCCTGTGCCATGGCGTATAGTAAGGGTAGAGGTCCACGGGGGCGAAAGCATCCCCTCCCCTAACTGTATATATCGACCCATTAGATAGAACAAGAAAAGAGCTTTAAAATGTTTTTTAATTGAAGATTGTAGGACAATTTTGATGGAAGTTGAATCAATTTTTGTCGAAATAAATTATGGCTCACTACAAGTTAATGCCTGTACGATTCCATACTGCAAAAGAAGCATTATGCCCCCCCCCCCTCAAAAGAAAAAAGTTGTTCATGCCGGGATTCGAACTCGGGACCGAGTGTGTTCGAGTCGTGCTCGCTAACCACTAGACTACAAGTGATGAGGTTATTGCAAAAAGTAAAAGTAGTGTATTTATTTATGAAATTGTCGGCTCTCTAGCAAAAACACGTAGCAGCCACTTGCGTACCGACAATTGTCGGTTCTCTATCTGGCACTACTAGGTGACGATAGAGTGCCGACAATTGTCGGTACCCCAGCAAATACCCCTGGACAGTCTCCAGTACCGACAATTGTCGGTCCTGGAGCCACTCCGTAAAAAAAAAGTGAAACCAATCAGGCCCTAAGATGATCCTTGTAAGCGTATATGTTGTTCCCACAGGGGCTTGAAAATCGGGCAGAGCCCTTGTATGTCTACAAAGTTTTCAATCTTTCACTGAGATCCCCTGTGTCTGTGTGATGTTGTTTTGTTTCTTCTGCCTTGGAAAAAACAACAGCCTAAGCATGGGTATTGTTCACAGCTTATTATATAAAATTTGCATGCACGTGCAACATCAATTATATTACATATTTATGAAAAACTATTGGAGACTATGTGAAATAATTTTTAACTTGGTAGAGTACAAACTTACCGATAAATCGCCGAAAATGTGAAAAATATGTAAACTTTCGGCTGCAATCCAAGATGGCGATTGCGTAAGGCTAAATGTAAACTTTTCAAAATCAAAAGAATTCATTCGACTTTAAAATTATGATTATTTTACTAAAACTTTATTTTGGTATAACTAAAACATTTAAAAAGGACAAAGCTGAAAAATTCATATGACTATACAGATCAGCATATATAATTTAGTGTTTTCTATGGAATATTTTAACCTAAAGTTTGGTATCTAGTGAAAGCTTTCATCAATGTTTGGTCACGTGACAGTCACAAGACCGGCTGACTAACAAACATGTATTATGCGACGCACCAGAGGTTCTTCGCCCGTGGTTGAATCGACACATTAGAACTCTTTAAAATTGGAGAGTGGAAAAGTCGATACGACTCACCTACCGTAATAACACCACTTCCTTGTTAGGTCCATGATTGATTTCTTGACCGTTTTTCAAGAAGTTCTCCTATAATTGACGCACATTGTGAGTTTTTTAGTCTTGGTATTACTTGATTGGTGACTCAAAACGACTCTTGACCTGAATGATCATCAAGATGAACTCCTGGGTGTAGATCTAACTGACTGAGTAAGCTGACGATTTTTTTAGACAAGCATTGATTAGACTTCAAGATGTCCCTAGTCCTACTAGGGACATCTCGCATTCCATTGAATAGATTGTCGCAGAATTCTGCACTCATAAATGTTAAAATTATGATGTTAGGAGACCTACCCTTTATTTGACCAGCCCATTTTTTCCTGTCTCATTTATTTATAGAGTTGAAATTGTAATTCTTGAGTTCTTAATTATCGTAAATCTTTCGTTCTATAAGTATAATGTCCAAGCAATTTCAACATTGTTGAACCCAATCCTCTGGTCGTTATGCAAATCTATATGAACGAACACCAAGAAACAAAATTATTATAATAAGATTTCGCTAAAGCTACTAAACGTGTAGCAAGATATCATATTCTTTTGTGCTCAGAAAAAAGTTTTGCCGCGGACATTTTTAGAAACGCCTAGGAGAAAGGTATCTTTGTCTGGGGGTAAAGCGGTTAATAAAACGTTTTAAATTAATTGTCCGTTTATGTTAAAAGTTTGACATGCGATACATAATGCGCATGCGCATAAAGAGGATTTTAATTTTCAAAATTAGTTCCAAATTTTTGACAAAAATCTCCTAATTACTCATGAAATTTCGGAGCATTCAAAGATAGGGTAGGTGCATAGTTTATCACAGTTTGCTGCTGCGTCATTATAAATATAGGTATGCATAACACAGGAACCTGTGCCCAGACTAGGTTTAACTTGTTGAACTAGGGGGAGGAGGCTATTTCTGCAAGAAAATCCAACATATCCGGAAGATTTATTTTTTCAAGAGAAAGTTTACAACTGAATTTCGAAATGAATAGGCGCAGTACATGGCAAATTTTGTTAGGTCTTCTATTTTTTTTGAACCTGCATTAACTGACCTGCAAAAGTCAATTCAGATTTGCTGCTCCAGGGAGTTACTGTTTTCTTAAAGGTGCAACAGTTAGTGCAGAGGGGCCATTCAACGATCATCAATATATATTTTAGTTTGGATATTTCATTCAAGACTAACATATATTTTTATTATCTATAAAGAAACCCCCTGGATGAACATTATTTCAGCTGATATTCCTCTTGAAACGGGTTGAATCTTACAAATCTATAAGTAGGACTCCCTTTATAGAAGATTTGTACTGAATTTACACTGAATTTACGCTGAAATTGATAGTTTATCCATACATTTTAAGAAAATAGGTATGTCAAATGAAGATGTTAAGCCAAATATTGACCTGATAACTCAGAAAAATAAAAATTTTCAAATTTTCTCTCTACAGTCCTTGTTGCCCCTTTAAATTTCTTAATTATCCCAACGAACGAAGTTCGGTAGGGATATAGTGAAGCCCTCCGTCCGACCAAAATTCTTAAACTAGTGCAATATACTAACAAAAGATACTGTGAGAAGATTAAGGATTATACAGGTGCCAATAGGATGTGGATCAGTGACAATAACCAAAATATGTTAGATAACATTAAAAGTGTCAATTTAAGGAACGGGGCAAGAAACATAGCCTCGTATGATTTCTCTACACTATACACAAAGATTAATCTAACTGACATAAAGGAAAAACTGAAATGGGTGATAGATAAAGCCTTCAGAGGAGGAACTAACCAAAAGATAACAGTAGGTGGAGATGAAGCCAAATGGGGTGGAAAGGCGGATAATAAAAAGGCATATACCAAAGGAGAGTGCAATGATCTAGTGGATTTCATCGTGGATACAGCCTACTTTAAAGCAGGGAAATCAATTCTAAGACAGAAAATTGGAATACCGATGGGAATCGATCCGGCACCATATATGGCAAACCTATACTTATACAGTTATGAATTTCAAGCCATTGAGAAAATGTATAGGGAAGACTACTCCAAAGTACTAAAATATGCTAAAACTACAAGATTCATCGATGATTTATGTACTATAAACAACGACGGAGAAATGGAGACTGATATGAAGAACATCTATCCTGAAGAACTAGTGTTAAACAAGGAAAATGAGAAGGATACAGAAACAACTTTTCTGGACATACAAATGAAAATAGTAAATAAACAAATCACTACAAAACTATACGACAAAAGGGAAAACTTCAATTTCCAAATAGTCTCATATCCTGATCTATCTGGAAATATTCCTAGAAACCAATCTTATGGAATATTTATATCACAAATAATAAGGATTTCAAGAATCTGCAGTCAACTGGAAGATGCAACAAACAGAGTTACCAGCCTGGGAAATAAACTACAATGTCAAGGCTACAGGAGCAACATACTAAATTCGTATACTAAGAAAGCTATAACAAGAAATAAATGGATATGTACTAAATACAATATGCAGGAGAATATCATCATGAAGGACTGGAAAATTAATGAGAGAAGAGAACATTAACAAATGAATATGAAACAGTATCTTCTCCGCAAAGAGGGTAAACTAAGATGACAAATCAGCATAAGACCAACAGTAAGGGGAAGGGGAGAGTTTTCCGGCCGGATCAAAACGTTTAACCCACCTATGCGCAGTCTCAAGTCTGTGGACCCTGAAGAAAGATAAGTAACATCGCAATCAAATCAAGACAAAGAAAGAAGAAAATGAATGAAGAAACCAATGCAGCAACAACAAATGACGTCCGTCCGTCAGTCCGTCCGTCCGTCCGTCCGTCCGTCCGTCCGTCCGTCCGTCCGTCTGTCCGCCCGGAAGATAACTCAAATATTAGTTGACGCATTTTCTTCATATTTGGTGGAAAGATGTATATTGATGAATAGTTTTACGCAAAAAAAAAATTTTTCAAGATGGCCACCACTTTAAAAATGACGGGACTTTTTCGCAAAAATCATAAATTTTATTTTTCATTCTAAACCAAAGTAATTAATATTATTGTTTGAAATTTTGTTAGTATATTCGCAACATCTATCTATTTCACATATATTCCGTGTTTTTCATCCTGACACCCAGGGGCCGTGTATGGGGGGTCAGGAAAACAGAAATTTTCGCTAATTTTTAGATCTTTCTGAAGTATAGCTTTATTATACTCAAATGAAAGGCAATTAAGAGTAGATTGCAAATATTGTATCTTTTTTCTGATTCGAGCCTCGTAAAATTCAAAATGGCCGACTAATGTACGATTTCGCAATAATTTTTCGATCCCTTCAAAGTATGGCTATATAATACTCAAATTGAAGGAATTTTGGAGTAGATCACAATAATGGTAATATTTTTCAGATTTGTACCTCAGAAAATTCAAAATGGATTTTTTCAAGATGGCCGCCGCTTTAAAAATGGCGGGACTTTTTCACAAAAATCATAAATTTTTCATTCTAAACCAAAGTAATTAATATTATTGTTTGAAATTTTGGTAGTATATTCGCAACATCTATCTATTCCACATATATTCAGTGTTTTTCATCCTGACCCCCAGGGGCCGTGTATGGGGGGTCAGGAAAACAGAAATTTTCGCTAATTTTTAGATCTTTCTGAAGTATAGCTTTATTATACTCAAATCAAAGGCAATTAAGAGTAGATTGCAAATATTGTATCTTTTTTCTGATTCGAGCCTCGTAAAATTCAAAATGGCTGTCTAATGTACGATTTCGCAATAATCTTTCGATCCCTTCAACGTATGGCTATATAATACTCAAATTGAAGGAATTTTGGAGTAGATCACAATTATGGTATTATTTTTCAGATTTGTACCTCAGAAAATTCAAAATGGCTGCTTTGCAGGAATTCGCAATTCTAAAATCTAAATTTTTCTATTTTAACCAAAGTAATGAGTATAATTGATTGGAATTCAGTAATTGATATTTTGTTCGTTGGGATTTGCTACTCCGCGGAGTTGCCATCATCTAGTTACAACATGGGCTTTCAATAGAGGTATATCGAAACAAAAATTATCCTGCAACCATATTGCTTATAAATTTTTAAGGAATAAAGACTGAAATTTTATGATTTATGGTGTAATATATGACCAAGAATTTGAGGTCGTATATAATTGCTATAAATCATAAGATCAAGGTTTTTGTTACGATTCTAATATGATGAACAAACCAGAAGAATCATTTTAAATAAGTGGTCATACATACTCCAATATAGACCAGTATATCAATTGTTCTACCTTTCATATGATGGCTCAATTTTCATAATATGACCAATTTGATTTTACAGAACTATGGATAAGTTCACTGCATCTGAGGTGATTCGTAGTCTTGGACTGGAGACAAGCAGAGAGCATGATGAGATGGTCCAGCAAGAAAGAGATAGTAAGTTAATTATTTCTGTTTTTGGCACTTTCAGTGAAACATGAATTCAAACATGAATCTTCAGTATGGTCTTTGAGCAAAAATGTTGTAATCTTTATTCAGTAGAGTTGTCAAGTAGACTCATTATTTGGCTAAACTGTTGTAGGAGCAGATTCAGTAAGACCGAAGAAAATACAACGGAGTCGGACACCTCCTCCACAGCGAACATCCGTTCAACAAAGACAGAGTAACACAAAGTCTAACTTAAGGACAATAGGTACATTTTTGTATTTTATGCACAATGCGTTTCTGGCTAAAAAGTAGTACTAAAATACATTTTAATGATGATTGATTATTGATCCACATGACAAGAAGTATGTTTCTATTTCACACATTGAGATATTGAATATTCTAAGTGCTTAATATCTGAGTTTGAGGAAATACTTCAAACTTCAACAGTTTGCAGTCCTTTTAGATGTAAATTATGCAATTCAAGATCGTTGAATTCCACAACTCATACATGAACATTGAACATACTGTACATACATGCTGGAATTATTTGTTATCTTTACAATTAAGCCTATATTATTGTATCATTTCAGCTGTTGATTGGAGCCAGAGAAAGGTGTGCAACTATGTAGAATTTGCGAACTTCTCATGCAGAGAATTCATGGAGAAATTTTCCAGGAGAGTTGTTGGTGGAGGATTTAGATGCTTCCTCCATGAAGTTCAATCAAAACACCAGTTTATCGAATTGCTATTGGCCAAATGTTTAGAGGATTTAGATGAAACTGATATGCTGCAACATATGGAAGAGCATCGGGTGTGGCTAATGTCAAAGGAAGGTAATGGTCATAATCATCCTTATGCATACAATTTGTTAATAATTAAATTGTAAATTATGAATTTAGCTCTACCAAGAGTCGGTTTCCAATCATTTTTAAGGCATCACAAAACCTAGTGTCATATTGTTCTAGCCTCCCTGGTGTCTAGTGTTTGGCATCAAGTGTTCTGCAGTTGGCGTCTGTAACAAATTCTTACAACTTCCAATGACTCAAGAAGTATGTTTGTTTAATCTGTCACCCCTTCCTAGGTGGATCTTCAACTACCCACCCACCATGCAGGGTTTGATTTTAAATGCCAGGGTATTTTACCCAACCAAAATCAAGCGTCCCATTTTGCCACAGTCTCCCCCTATTTTACAATGATTTAAATGAACAACTTTGAAGTGGAACACCTTTGTTGATTGAAGTGCATTTCACTTCACTTGCTTTATCAAAATAAAATAATAATATACATACAGTACATATATTTCTTATGTAGCTTTCAGAGATGGAACTGCTGTGCGTTCCATGCATCTTAATGTATGTGGCCATTTAGGACCAGTCAGGCCATTAAAGCATTTGAATTCATCCAAAGGTATTTATTATTTTTTTAGATATATTTAGTTTTAAAATATACATGAAATTAAAGCTGGACTCACTTGGAAGATATAGATTTGACCTTCAATGACCTTCTCAAGGTCAAAAGGGTATTTTACACCTTACCTCAAATTGATCAGACTTTTTTTCAAAATCATCTACAAGTGCTCAGAAGTTCCAATCTGACATAAGATTTGAGATTTCCCCTTCAATATTCTCAAGGTCAAAAAAGGTCAAGAGGGTTTTTTTCCACTTGCTTCAAATTTACATAATTCTTTTGTTTAAAAATCATCTACAAGTTCTCAGAAGCTCAAATCCGACTTTAGATTTCAGATTTGCCTTTCCATGACCTTCTGAAGGTCAAATTTGAACAACTAGGTGGTGGCATTTTGTCATGTTAATTTTTTTCTTTAAGCCTGACACCATAATGCACTTCAATATGATTTTTTAGTTTAATGTGCAAACAAGTATCAGAATTCTAAAAGGGTTTGCCTGTTGCAACACTTAAACATCTAAATCCATAAATCTAACATGATGGACTGAACAATACAATACCATATAGGTTATTCTGTCTTTAAAAGTGTCTAAATGAATTTTGTTCTTATTTAGCTTGCAACAACACAACAGATTTGGGTGTAAACCCATCCATGATGAGTGGCAACAAAGCTGTGAAACGAAAACTTGCTTCCACTGGTAAATAGAACATGTTAATTAATTAGTTTTGATTGTTTGATCCCTGACTTATACAGAATGAATCTCAAACAATGCATTTTTATTCACAACATAATTCCTTATTATTATATTCCTGATAGAAAGACATGTTAAATTTAGCTGCCAGCTTTTAATCAATCAAAGTACAGGAGTATAAAGAGAATGGCTCTGTACCTCTGTACATGTATCCGTATCTAGTTTCAAATGGGATCAGTTAGCTTGTTTTAAACAGATTATAATGAGTTCTTGAATTCCAATATCAATTACCCTTTTTCTAGAAGGTAGGCCTTTACCGAGGCAAAAGAAAATTAAAGTGGCAAGTGGAGATTACAGTGGATTCCCAACAAAGAAAAGGAGAGTGGTTCAACCACCAAGACCCAACAAAAAACATACTACAGGTCGAAGGACACAGAACATGCAGAATTCAACCACTGAACCAGTAACTGTCTTCCCAGATATTTGTTCAACAGAGCAGTCATATCAGGTATACACTGTTGTGTATTATATTTCTTATATGACCAGATGTCTCTTTTACTTTTGTTCACTCTTTGATGTACCATCATTACATTTCTTATTATTATATATTTTTGATTTTTCTCAAAAGGTGGATGCTTTGACAGCATACGAATTGGAGCTTAAGCAGCACAAGAAAATATCTACCTCACAGGATCATATGGCGTTTACACTTTGTGATTTTAATGAAGAAAAATTGAAGCTTCAGGTACATTCGAATGAAATTACAATACATTGTGTCAATTTTAACTGCCACTATATACAGGTTGACTGGCAAATAGCCTATCTTTACCTTTGAGTACACTAAAACAGATGTATCTACTTTGAACAGTGGACACTTAATCTTGGCAAAATTAATAGGATTTGCTTATAAGAGTCTCTTTGTTAATAATATTGATATTGACTTTAAATTATAACATTTTTGTAGCATTCTCTGCATCGTGTTGTTGAGAGGAGAGCAATGAGGTTTGCAGATGGTAGTCACTGGGTGTATTGCTGCTCCTGCAATTTGGACGAATCATCCATTATCAAGAATGCATCAGAATCTCAAACTCAAGAATACAAAGGTAATTTTTATGCTCTTATGATATCCTAATTCAAACATGAATTCCTTTATGTTGTAACCAGAAAAGTGGTTATATTGTCATATAGCCTCAACATATTTGTAGATGTCATTTAGAGTATGCAGTCCATGGTTTAGTGCTTTGTCGGTGCATGCAGCACATTCTTGGTAATGGTTTAAAAATTCTGGCCATGAAGTAATGAGAGAAAATGCCTTTGATCCAGGACTGAGAATAACTAATAATTTCTCATGTTTTGTTTCAGATTTCTCATGTTTCAAATGCTTACATATCTCAGCTGTGGAGAGAATAGCAGTTTCTTACGATAGAGAGAATGCCATTGCGGTTGAGGATGGTTTTGGCTGTCAAGAAAAGGAGGATAGTTTGTTTGAGATAGATTGGGACTGCTCCTTGACTGGAGTGTATGCTTCATCAAGTAATTCATATGGAACTGTGGGTGTTGCAAATAAACATCTTTGCTGCTACACCTGCAGGAGCCACACTACATATTGTAGTCATGTAGATGTAGTTCGATCTGTTGATACACTTCCACACTACCTTGAGGAGATCCTCAGCAAGCAAGATTCAGGTGACAGCAAACCAAGAAGCAGTGTGCTAAAACCACTGTCTAGCCAGACTATAACCCTCATCCCCTCTCAACGCCATCAGTCACTCTTCAGAAATGGACTAGACCTCCAAATGGATGGTGATATGCTACAACTTGAGCCAGGTTTAGAGACCAAATGCCCAAAGTGTCAAAATGTTGGGCTGCTAGGCCCACTCAAGCTTTGGAAAGCCTCACAGAGACTCATACTTTGTTCAAGGATTTTATTTGCAAATGGTAATAATCAGTGCTTAACGTTAAATGAAAACACAAAAATATCTTTCTTAAGCAATGATTCAAAAGACTATTGTTACTTGCAAACATATTCTGTACAGAATTATTTAATATTAACGACTATAAGCAAAAGCTAAAACATTATTGTGTCTTACAAAAAAATTATTTTCTATTTTTAGTGTACAGCAGGGCGTGTCAAATCTGCAGTGCAGATGTAGTATATGATGGTTGTGAAGATGGTCTTCTGAATATGGGGTCGTTCATTGTAACTCATCAGAAGCTACGCTCCTACCTTTCAGCTTTTGAACATAGCAAGTAAGTATACAAGCCCTCCATTTTCTCACACAGAAAATATATCTTGTTATGTACATGTACTTGATTTTGCTTCCAATTCTGTTATGTTTTAAACTGTTGTGTACATGTATATGCATGTGCTTATAAGCATTGCATATTTTATATTTTTCTCATTGTTCAGACTAGTAGATTTAATTATGTTAATTTTCTTTACCTGTTGAAGAGATTAATGAGTTTATTGTTATTTTGTTACAGGATTCCGCTACATTCCTTTTACCAGACATGGGTGGCAGATATGGTCAGCTATGGTTACATTGACTTTGAAAATGTTTTCTTGTACAACCACTTTAGATCATCTTGGTGAGAATATGTGTATTATTAAATGTAATAATATTGATATGAGTAAATATATCCTATCAAACATATTGTTAATTGATCAATTCAAATTGTAGACCTTGACATCATGTCATCATGTCACATAATCATGTGTAATCAAATGTCATAGCAGTCCCACAATCTCAAAATGAAAAAAACACCAAGATATTGACCTTTGACCTTGGAATGACCCGAACCTTAAGTCAACTTAACATAGGTCACTAAGGGTCACAACAACTTCCAAAAGCAAAATATCAAAATTTTGACCCTTGACCTTGAAATGCCTTTGACCCATAACACTGAACTTGACCTTAGGTCAATTAATCACAGGTCATCAAAGGTCACAGTACAGTCCAAGGGTCTTAAAAAGCGAAAAACCTTAATATTGACTTAAGACATTTGAATGACCTTGAAGAATGGCTATTGACCTTCTTAGTATGATGACCCAAGGTCAAATGGTCAAAGAGGATATCACGGAATCGGGGAGACAGACATACCACTGTGCTTTGTAGTAAGATCGAATTTAGTTGTAATTTTAAGAAAATCATGACTTAAAAATGATTATATTTGTAATTTTTAGGTATGCGTTCCTCGATCTGCTTGAACTAGACTACCAGGAGATGTTCTCCTGCCCTAAATGTGGAGATACTCCTAACACCATTGTTTGTGATGGGACATCTCTTTCATTTAGAAAGGATCTGTTCAGCTGGAGTACACTTCAACAGAATGATGGAAATGCAAAGAAAAAAGGAAGATAAGTAAAATTATACATCTCAGCAGGGATGGAATATACATGAAGTGCAGTTAGAATATGTAGTTAAGAATTCAAATGTCTTATTCAAGCTAAACTAAAACAACCATTTATTACATAGTTCATTGGCAGTCCAATTATAGTAAAACCTGTTTTAGTGGACACCTCTCTTTAGTGAACACTTTCAGGGTTGTGACTCCCTACGTCTTCACTGTACACAGGTTTCACTGTACTGGCATACTTAAATTAAAATGTCATTTTGTTTAATGTGAATATTTTCTCTATACTGTTATTCAGGATAGAGTCTTCATTGACAATGTTAAGGCAAGGAAACTGCTCAAAATGTTTGCACAGTCCAAATCAGGGAAACAGATGGGAGAAGATGACTACAACTCAATGAGTCAAATTCTGCCCCAATGTGATGACCATGGCAATGATGTCCTGTTACTGGTACAAAGTATTTCTTCAATAGAAAGTCGGTATCCACCATCATATTATGTTGAATTCCTAAAGACATTATCTTCCTCTGCCCCTGTATGTGCGACTATTCACCCGTCAATAGAGTTGCGCAATCTCCTGCACCAACTTGCAGATGGTTTGGATGTGAAGGAGGATATTCTTGCCTTGACTAAACTGCAAAGAGAAATCCCTGCACTCTATACACTTATTATTGGACAGCCTGAAGCGTCTATTCCTGAAGCAGTCAGACCTCTCCTAAGAGCATTGCAGTACTGGTCTGAGTATCCCTTTCGCAGTTGTGATGGAGTGCCAGGTTCAGACAGCATTGTGGAACGTGAGTTGGCATATTTTCCACGCAACCCGATGGTTCGTGGCCGGGGGAATTACTCCAAAGATTCAGCCACAAAGCGAGAGAGATGTAAGAAAATGTACACTGGACACCAAAGTCTACTGCCTGGAATCTTCACAGTATTATGTGAGCATGGTAAGTGTATAATTAATTTGGTGTCTCCCAGTATAAATGATGCTGATGGTCAAAGGGATGCTTATTACATGGGGTGTCTATAGAACCCTTTTTATACTAAGTATCTCATCAAAGCTAATTTGATATATAGAACACACATCTGTCCATACTAACATATACTTAAATATGTCAATATCATTGTTCTTATATTGTTCAAAATGGCCATTTATTTAAAAGCGATGGACATTTAATATACATGATGTATGTACATTCAAAATATTTTTCGTAAGAACTTGACTTTTTTCTATCATGAACTACATATGTTTTTCTGTACATTTTTTCGGAATGTATTATTGTATGATGTGTCCAGTTGTGCTTTTATTTGATATAAATTGTCCTATTTCAGGTGTATGTCTTGGTTACGAGGTGATGAAGAATCATGAATCTCCTAACGTACCCTTTTCGATATTCTTGACCAGATTCAAAACAGGTATAAATGAAATTGAATTTTTGATATGGTTTAAATAAAATATGCTGATGATAATGTAAGGGTGGTCGAAATTAAACCAAGAGAACGGCAGGATGATATATTTTGATAGTCGAGCTTACTATGACTGATTGCTCTAGCTGGATAATCAACCTACCTGGATAGCAGAACAAACATTTACTAAATCTAGACATAAAAATTAACATATTACCTAAGCAATGATTTCACTGGCTGATTACAGTAGCTGAATATGATTGCAAGCATGAAATATGGAAATCAACTTAGTTGTAGTATAGAGCGCAAGTGAATAAATCATCACTGATGCGATTGTTGTTGCTGTGTATTGTACCAGTAGCACATTGTCATCACTGTTTGAAAGTCACTTTCAAGTTGCGCTAGCTGAATTTTGAACCTACCCAGATAGCAGAACAAAGATTAGTCATTTACTTATTTTTCATAGACCTGAAGGTAACACATTAGCTTAGCTGATTCCACTAGCTGATTACAGTAGCTGAATATGAATAAAAGCATGGAACATAGATCAGACTTAGTTCTAGTATAGAGCGCAAGTGAATAAATAAATCATCACTAATGCGATTGTTGTTAATTGGCATAGGACATCATGAGCATTGCATATCCCTTTGAGGAGGTATTCAAAACGATTCCTGTATGTATTTGTCACAGTTGTATTTTTTTTTAAAAGAAAGTCAATTTTATCTGAAAATTTTAAATAAAATTTTATAATATTTGATTTGTTAGGTAAGATTTGATACCCTGTTGAGTTGCTGTTTTTATGATTCACAGAATTCATAACATTTTCTTCAAATCTATGAAACATTTTTCAGCTCCAAAAGTCATTGTTTATGACAATGCATGTGGTCTTCATGTATATTGCCTCAACCGTGAACCAAAGTATTTTGAAACAACTTGGTTTCTTGTTGACCGGTTTCACTGGAGGAACCATACAGGTAAGTATATTTATTCCGTATTAGTTAGTATCAGCTAAAATCACGTATCAGGTCCCGTATTGGATCCAGTATCAGAACTATTTCCTGAATTTCACTCATTTTAGTTTTATAAATTATTTATATTTTAAATTGCATAATTTTATGTAACCATCATTGGGTGATGACATGATATACAAAACTTAATAAAAATAAGTTTCAGAAAAAAATTTATGAAATAAATAGGTTATTGATGGTCGTGATGAAATATGAATTTTGTCCTTGAGAAAATATGACATTGGCCTCTGAAAATATTATATTGACACTTGGGCTATCACCCTCAGTCAAAACTACGTATGATATTTCCCTTGGCCAATATCATATTTCCCTCAGAATAAAACCTATATTCAATTCCTCCCAGTAAATAACCTCTATATATTTGTTTGTGTTTGTATCATAGCATTTAAGAAATTTGTGTTTACATGTTCCATCTCGTATACCTCAAAATACATATTGATGGCATTGTCTATACGATCATGTCAAAGTATTACAATTTCTATTTTTTCAGCATGTCCTATTGGGTACAAACTTGACAGCTACCCTCAGTTCCGAAAACTGAACAGCCAGATAAACGAACAAATTAATTCTGGACTCAAAAAAATCAAATCTTTTTTGGCATACATGAGCCAAGACAATTTTATGTTACACTGTTCCTTATATTTGTACATGCATAACAAAAGAGTTATTGAAAAGCTTTAGATGATATCCAGGTGTAGACATCTCAGTACATGTACTTTGATATGTATGTAAGAGCAGTGTATGTTAAGATAGCTAGTATGATTTTTAAATGTATTTAAATAAGTTTTTTCTGTGCTCATCTCTAAGTGGAATTTGAATCTGACAGGTGATGTGTCAAGGTATGGACTTTGAAAATATCAATGCTATATCTGGTAATTTCATGCTGATGATACATTACTCAGATTATGAACTGCAAGAATAAGTCCAAAAATATCCCGAGACCAGCTGGTTTAATGTTAAATGAACAAGTGGAACACCTCTCAAGTGGAACAATTTAGAGGTACCAAAGGTGTTCAGCTTAGACAGGTTTTACTGTACATGTGTGTATAGCAAGCAATAACATGCTGGTACAATATTATGTCTAATGTTAAATGAACAAGTGGAACACCTCTCAAGTGGAACAATTTAGAGGTACCAAAGGTGTTCCACTTAGACAGGTTTTACTGTACATGTGTGTATAGCAAGCAATAACATGCTGGTATAATATTATGTCTAGGAGGCACATGGACTATACTTACTTGAAATGATGTTTTCCATTAATGTTATATCTAATTAGAATACACCTGTGTATTACTCTTTATAAAATAGATGTAAGTGTACATGTAAGTACTCCTTTTAAGATGTATGTTAACCTATTTCCCATCTACATGTATTGCTGATTTACTTTGCTACATGTATGATATGATACAGTATGTTTTTATCTGTTTATGAATTATAAATGTAGCTTTTACATGTGTTAATTACTCATTAGAAAGGTAATTGCATTAGCTTATACCTTCAATGAAAACAAAGATAGTTAAGAAAGAAGGTGTAATCACATTTTGGACAATAAATATTTACCATAACTTGAAAAATGAATTCTTTGTTGATTACTAGTATAAGGCACAACAGTATTTCATGGAAGTTGCCAAATCACTCAAACATGTCAAAGATTAAAATTAGGAACTCTCAATATTTACTGAATAAGCAAATCACTTCATCTAATTTTACAAAATTATTGCATGGTGGCCGAAGTAATGGTGAAGACATAAATGAGAAATGGATAAGAATGAATCCAAATCCTTTGATGATTTTGACATTATTACCTTGAATTTTATTTACTGATGTTATGCAAGTGCGACATACACCTGTGTTACGCATTGAATACTATTTTTACCAATATTCTAAAGATTCCATTATCATATTATAATTTATTGAATGATTTGAAGTGCGATACAATATATATTCTGCTCAAGAATTCCGTATTGGAACGAGACGAAGTCGAGTGCCAATACAGAATATCGAGACAGAATATATCCTGTAGTGCCAATACAGAATATCGAGACAGAATATATCCTGTATTGCACTTCAAATCATTCAATAACGTTTTTATCGTGTGATCCTCTACATTGCTACTGAGATTGTCCCCGCCTCTGTACCAATATTTTCTGTATTGCGACGGAGATGATCAACGGGGACAATCTCAGTCACAATACAGGTTAGTACAGCACAAGAACTGACCAATCAGAGGGCTTCATTTTACAGATCATACGATAAAAAGTATTCCAAATATTGAGGATAAATGTTTTTTATGTCACCCTGTTTTGGCAAAATAATGGTTGAATGAACAAAATAGGAAGATTCGACCACAAGATTGGAATCGTTGAATTGAGTAACTAATTTCAATAGTCTTAACTTTGTTGCATTTAGCAAATACGTCTATTAATGGTCATAATATTGTATTTCTTAGATATTTGGCAATTTTTACTGTCAGAACAAAAAATGGTTGAATGAACAAAATAGGAAGATTCGACCACAAGATGGGAATCGTTGAATTGAGTAATTAATTTCAATAGTCTTAACTTTGTTGCATTTTGCAAATACGTCTATTAATGGTCATAATATTGTATTTCTTAGATATTTGGCTATTTTTACTGTCAGAACAAAAAATGGTTGAATGAACAAAATAGGGAGATTCGACAAGACGGGAATCGTTGAATTTAGTAACTGCCTTTAATAGCCTAATTGAAATTAAAACTTTGTTGTCTTTATTAATACGTCTAGGAATGTTCATAATTATATTTTTAGACTTTTTGGTTATTTCGGACAAAAGAAATGGTTGAATGAACAGTATAGGAGAAAAACGAATCCGGAATTGAACGTTACGTTTCTTAGCGCGTATTTGTGACAAACAAACACATTCAAAATACCCACTTATATTTCAAAATACGCACTTGCGGGTACTAACATTTTTGAGAAAGATATTTTGTCTATCTACATTTTGCATCTATTACAGTTGTCAGATTAAATTAATAATGGTAGCATCGCAAAGCTAAGACTTGCATCTTTCATTCACATACCTCATTCGAGAGAGGTCAAACATCAAACATCCATGACTGCGCAAAAATAAAACAGAAAGACATTTGGTGCGAAAACATAACAAATTATTTTTGAAACGAGTTTAAAATGTGTTGATTCTATAGAATGTTGCTCTGTAGGTATTTCAACTGAAATGCATAGAGACATGACCTTTTGTAGACTTCTTTATAGGATTTTTCAAATAGGTTATTGACGTCAAGTCTATTGCAGGTTTCTCCTACAAGATACAGTATCTCATTAGGTTGGATCATGACACTATTCTTTCTTCTAATCTAGAGATTGGAGTTTGTATAGTATTTTTTTAAAAAGGGCAAGGCTGGAAGTTACTTTCTTGATAATACTTGTATACATGGTGTAAAGTTTGTTATCTTTAGACAGACGTATGGGACGCTAAAGTTACTCCGACTTTCATAAGTCCGTTTACACCCCCTTAAATGATTGACGAGTGCCTGCCTACCTCTTGCTGTATACGCCCCTTCCATTGTAATAGTTTACATAATGGAACTCCCGTGACAGAACACCTTCCCCAAAGTCGGTCCTGTCGTTTGCTGGTTGTTAAATTCACACCAATACAGGCATCGCCAATTGGTCAAATTAATAATTTACAAGTACGTACATTATTGAGGTTTGCTACTGTGCATTCAATCAATGTAGAACTCAGGACAAGTACACGTACGTGCAGGATCGTTTATGTGCACAATCGCCTTAGCCACAGCCATCTTGACCATCTCTCTGCTTCTCTTACAATGGATGTGATGGTTCTCTACCTCTTAACTGCAGTAATTCCCAAAGATTTCAGCATTCATACATTTCGCAAATATATTTCGCACGAATTTGAACTCTTAAACCAATACCTCGATTTCTTAACTATATTAACTCAATTGGATTATGTCTTAATGGTCATAATTGTGTTTTTTAATGAGTACATACATTTTTCTGACAGAACGAATATGTGGTCGTATGAACAATATACGATCATTCAACCACATTTTGGGAATTTTTGAATTTAGGAACTTGATCGATATTATTGAAAACATATCGTTTCGTTGTGTCTTTTGACTACTATGATTGTCATAATTGTGTTTTTAATGAGTACATACATTTCTTCTGACAGAAGGAGCATGTGGTCGAATGAACAATATACGATCATTCAACCACATTTTGGGAATTTTTGAATTTAGGAACTAGATCGATATTATCGAAAACATATCGTTTCGTTGTGTCTTTTGACTACTATAATTGTCATAATTGTGTTTTTTAATTAGTACATTCATTTTTTCTGACAGAATAAACATGTGGTCGAATGAACAATATACGATCATTCAACCACATTTTGGGAATTCTTGAATTTAGGAACTTGATCGATATTATTGAAATCATATCGTTTCGTTGTGTCTTTTGACTACTATGATTGTCATAATTGTGTTTTTTAATTAGTACATACATTTTTTCATGTTAAATAACAAAGAGACTATATGAGATTTTAAAGCATGTGATCACTCAACTTAACAATGAATTAAATCAAATGAAATGGATGAAAAAACAAAAATATAACTGCTGTGTTGTTATGAAGATTATATTCTAGAATCATTAATAACAGAATTATAAAAACAAAACAAAACAATGTCATTCCAATGAAATTAAAGCTGGTCTTAGTCATTTAGGCAATCCAAGTAGAACCTCATTTTGACACATCTGTGGCTCTTACAGTATGTCTCACAGCTGGGAAAAAGCATACCCTTAAGATATATTCATATTGATACACTGCAACTAAACACATTTGGAGTAAAGTTTGTAACATGTAATAATAAAATAAAATAAAGATTGCCAAAATATCACATGTACTAGTCTTATCAATAGGCTTTAGGCATGAGCTATTATTCAGTGTATAATGTCAGAACATAATGACATATACATGGAGGATGACCAGATTTATGAGATTGGACCATTAACATGGACAAGGTAAAGACATATTTCAAAAGTAATATATCATAACAAGATATTCAAATTTGCTGTTTCTACACTTCCATCAGTATTTTTGTAGAGTTTATACAACTTTTACTATTGTCTATAACATTCCATATGTCGATTGAAGAAGAAGCCTCCTCACTCCAGCGAATTCCTTCTCATTGTACACTGTTGGAAGGCCCTAAAATAGATAAGTTTGAACAATTTACTGTGTGGGCTTCTACGAAGGTACACCTGAATATTTATCAGAAATATTAGAGAAAAGACACAAATTGCATGCATGCAGGAACTGATATTATATTAGATATTACATGGAAATGTAGGATTACTGGTAAATATTGATTTTGCATTTAGTTTACACTTAATATTCCTTGTAATCAACAAGTGATTATTTCGTTTTTTAAGAACCATACAAACAATTATTAAATTGCACAAGTCACACTAAAACTTTTATGAGGTTTTATATAAACTGCTATGTATGTACAACATATGTACAGTACCTGACCAATACAATGTATATTCTTCATAACTGCAAACCCGCAGTCTGTACCATTTGTTTGTTGGGTACACTAGGATAAAAAAAAACATAGAATTACAAAATATGTCATTAAATTTTTAAGCTTGTGCATACTAGACAAGACCTGTGTTCACTAACTGAAGCTTCTAATTCATTCTTTGTTTTCCTGTTGCATACTCTAGTGAGATTGATTTGTATTATTATAGGACTTAAAGTAAAGCACACATCTTACCTTTTGACTTATGACTCTTATCCCCACCTCATTTAGAGGCTCAAAACCAAATGTCCTACTTATGCCATTGAAATATCTGTAAAAAGATATAGGTAATTCCAATAAATAATGTGTTAAAACAAGAAATTGGCGCCTCCACAGAGTAGCAAATACCAACAAACACAATATTAATAAATCTGTATATGTATGTAGGTATCATTGGAAATTGAATTATTCAAAATTTACAGTATTTTGAGCCTACATAACTATAATGAACCGTTATTAATGAAGAAATTCACATTTGGGCATATCAGTGACTTTAAACAGCTCTAAACTTCCTCCTATGGAGATAGCCTTTTCGAGCTTGAGTTGTTGTCTCACTTGGTCTTTTAAGCTAAATATGTACATTATACATTTATATATACTATCATACATTTAACATAGACAATTTACTTTACAAATCTGCAGATATATTGTTGGTATGAGGTCTTCACCGCCTTTCCTGTGTTTAGCGAATCATAGCACTTTACCATCCTGAAAATAATTTTGAATTGAAATATTTGACATATGACCTAAAGTCATCTTAACATTTTTTTGAATTTACTTAAAACTTGGTATAACTAATGGTCTAAAACAATTTACTCAAAACATATGCTTAAAAATTCCTTCAAAAATCTCCACAATTATTGTTTAACATTACATCTTTTACAATAACTTTTTGAACATTCATCCATTAGTTTGAGTATGATTGATAGTAGGTGTACTTAATTTTACATGTATATACTTTTTTGTTACATACCTTTCTCCAACAGCGTAATGTAGAAGGATCCAGTGCTCCGAATGGCTAAAATATTTAAGGTTCATTAACATTCATAAGGTGTGACTGGAAACTTAATACATACAAATTCAGGGTTGCGACATCATTTTTTTAATCCAAATCCTGATACCGACTCAAGTGCGAGATAACCAGACCAAGTGTGTTGGTTTTAAAAGTTAGAGAGAATTTACAAATATATTCACTGATTACATCTCATGATTTAAGTATTTTAATAATTATCTCAGCTTTGTTGTCCAATTGTCAACTTTTACAAAATTTCCTCGTTTTACAGAGGATCCACTTTTATCTTCCTTTAATTTAACCTTTCCTAGGCCTAATAGGAACACTGTTCCTTCTAGAACTATACCACAACAAGGATAAGCACTACTGGTTCAATCATTCAACTTTTTGAATCCTTATACATGCTAATTCGAGAGTAGTGTCATGGATGTAATATTACTACGAAATGTTTAACAATACATGTACATGTTGCTAATATATAAATCTTTGGTATGTAATATAGATACAGTTTTGCTAATTTAACAAATAACTTACAGGACTGGAACCACAACATGTTCAACAGTGGAACCAAGGAAAGGGTTCCATCTCCGGTGAACTTCCTCATGGCCAGCATACGAGATGTCATTGAGGAACAGTTGGGAAGTGGTAGCATTCAGCACTAATGTGCTGTTGAACCTGCACTGGGTGCTAAAACAATAATAGACTACAAACATAAGTTAAAGCTAACAACTTTGTTTCACCATGTTATATTACTTAAATATTTTACTTATTATCTTATTTTAATATGGGATGTGTAAAAATGTGAATGTATATATTTTTCTCTTTTAATAATTTGTAAAATTAGATGACAAAAATAAATCTGAAATATCTCACACTTAATTATCAAGATATTACATATTGAGATAAAGAAAAAATAGTACACTAACAAAATGAAAAAATTAATTCCATCCATAGTGCAACATCCCCCAGGCTGGAATTGGGCAATCTCATCCGTTGTCAAGGCAAAACCCACAGGTAGTCTTATAATACTACAATAAAGACATAGTAAATCATTCACAAATAATAAAGTGTAAAAAGATGAACAATGAAAAATTACTAATAAACATATCCACCTATGTTGTGATGTCTTTTTGTGATATTATATGTTGTGATGTATGTACTAACCTTTGTGACATTTGGGGGCTGCAACATTTCCATGTGATGCCTAGCTGTTCTAGAGTTCCTTTTGGGATGCCAAGGCATCTGTAGTGCAGCCATCGTGGACATGAGGCACATCCTAATACCTCCTCTCCTCTATTCCAACAAATGGAGGAAGAACACTAAATAAAAGAATTAACTGTTCACTCATTCAATTGCAAATGCAACTACATAATGTTAATGGTATGTTATACATAATGTATTATATTATCAGTATGTAATTTCGTACTGCTCTAAAAAGATATTTAATTTTGTACTTTCAAAGTCAATGATATATCTAAACCTAAAATTCATGCTAATTAGATTAGTGACCACATAGTTAGTAGCCAACAAGCAGCAGGTAGGGAACTCTACTTAGTTTAAAACACACAGAAACATTTTAATGAGTGCATTTAATGCTGAAAATACAAACTAGTGATTGTATACACCCATGAAAATACACTTGTGTATGTAACAATGTACCTATATTTTTTTTTATAGTATAAACTTTATTGAAGTAAAGTCAATACATTTTCGGCCACCAATCGCCATATTGGCATTATAGGTTGGCCATATTTGTGTGAATGCATGCTGAATGATGAGTGTATGAACAACTGATGAAAAACAATGGTGATGTATATGATAGGATATGTGTGCCAAATGAACTATATATGCCATTTTTGAGGAACTTCTGAAATCCAGATAAGGAAAAAACATTTTGCTATTGCATGGTGAGCAACCTTGAGTTTCTTACCTCCATATTTCCTTGATCTTCATCACTTTTCTGTTCAGCATCCTATTAATCAAATATTTCATAACAATAAATTCAAAATGCCTCTTATTTCTGCCTACATTCCACTATATAATATTTTAGGACCTTTAAGTTTAAGAACACATTTTCTTGAGATATGAGGATGCCTACTAAATTCTATTTTTCATTTAAAGAAAAATGCTGTACCTGGAAGGTTATTACTTACATTGAGCAACCTTGAGTTTCTTACCTCCATATTTCCTTGATCTTCATCACTTTTCTGTTCAGCATCCTATTAATCAAATATTTCATAACAATAAATTCAAAATGCCTCTTATTTCTGCCTACATTCCACTATATAATATTTTAGGACCTTTAAGTTTAAGAACACATTTTCTTGAGATATGAGGATGCCTACTAAATTCTATTTTTCATTTAAAGTGCCCGATAAAGTATAAAATGCGCATGCGTCCAGGTGTTGATAAACTATAAATAGCGAAAATCCAGGGTTTGTCACCACAAGGTAAGCCAGGACGTGTTGAGAGAACAGCTAGTGTTGATATTGAATTTAAATGTAGCCAGATAAGTTTCCTTATTGAAATTATATATGGTTATTAGCAATACTTTGTAGGTGCTAAATAATAAAATATTTAGAGTATATATGAGAGAAATTGGTCATTTCGAACCTGTTGAAAAGTTTGTGGCTCTCGGCTACACCGGGGAATTTACTTCCATGAGTTCAAACATAAATGTGGGGTTCCCCAAGAGGTACGCGACAAGGTGACCTGGCATCAAATGTGCGACTAAATGCTACTATCGAGAAGATAAAATAACGAATACGACAATAAGTTATTGCATGTGACAATTCCGAGCCTTCATCTCACTGAAGTATTTTGAAGTGAAAATAGGATTTTTGTTTTGATACATGGATTCAGATGAACGTAACTTTATTCTGACAACTAATCAAAACTGAACAAAATCGATTGTACGTAACAGACAATTTATTGTTTTACAATATTTTGATTGGCTAAACGAATGAAACCAACAAATTATGACATGTGAAATGACAATTTTGAAATGTAAAATTTAAAAGTGACAAATACAACCTCCCTATCCACTCTTTGGGAGCCCTAGTAAATTAGTAATATGTACATGCAGCAGTGGTAGTGTGCAGCTTATTATCACACTACGCTTTGTATTCTAAAGCCTGTTGTTTGAAATAACACTGTTCACTCAACGTATGTTTTGTGTGTGGGCAGTCAACGATAATCATTGTTTTATCCCGGTTATATTACCTCGGCAATTATAACAAAACCGTACTAAACGAAAAGACGCAAATAAGAGAAAGCTTTCACACACATATAAAAAATGAACTAGTCTAATCCGCCAGTATAAACTCTGTGCTATACGTAGCCGGGTCAGGCGCACACTTTAAAGAAAAATGCTGTACCTGGAAGGTTATTACTTACATTGAGCAACCTTGAGTTTCTTACCTCCATATTTCCTTGATCTTCATCACTTTTCTGTTCAGCATCCTATTAATCAAATATTTCATAACAATAAATTCAAAATGCCTCTTATTTCTGCCTACATTCCACCATATAATATTTTAGGACCTTTAAGTTTAAGAACACATTTTTTTTGAGATATGAGGATGCCTACTAAATTCTATTTTTCATTTAAAGAAAATGCTGTACCTGGAAGGTTAATTCAATAAAAGAACATGTGTTAAAACAGTTCTAGGATGCATAAGATGTTTTTCCCAATGAAGAAATATTAAATCTAACATGGTTAACATGGTATGATTCTAAATAAAGATACTGTACATTCATACCTCAAAATATTCCTTAGCTGCATTGTATATCTCCTCAAGTTGTGGCATGGTATGTCTAGGAGTGTCCTTAGCTATGGATTAAATTTTTATATTATTTCATCGATTAGAGTTGTGTTCTACCCCAGTCATAACTTGACCTGCTTTCAGTAGCCTGGTATTTTATTGACCTTAGCTGTATGACTTCTTGAGCAGATCAAAATAGATTTGAATTTAAAGACTGCCCGAGATAATGATATTTTCAATATTTGAGCAAAGGAAGGTTATGTCAAACAAACATTCAGTAGTTTTTGTCACCCATTGACTAATGATGAATTATAGTTTTTCTCTCATATATATTGATATTTATTGCTCAAATGAACACTGTTATAAACTGACCGTATAATGATCAGTGTCTCATAAGCCACCATCAGCTGGTGGTATTATAAAAATGTTATATTTATTGTAAAAATGTATGTATAAACTAGAGACACTATAATAAAATATTTTAATAAAAAAATAACTAATGGAGAATGTTGATTGAATTTATCGAAAAGGTCTAATATGGTTAGATATACATCCAGATATTTTGGCATTGTGGCACTACTATACAGATTGAAGACTTACTTCCAGCATTCGGGGAGCAGAAGACAATACCCTCTGGCCACCATTCTGGCTTGTTTTCAGGTAACCATTTTGATTTCCGCCCATGACCTATTGTTACATATAATTTTTACCCATTATCACAATTAATTTAGATTGGGCTGACATTATAAAAATTATAAAAACAATTTAACAAAATATTCAGTTAGAACTAATTTTGGTGACTTATTCTGCTTAATGTTGTGCATGTTCTTCAATAATACCCATTTAAAGAAGAAAACAGTTGTGTCAGACATACAACTGATCAATTACTCAGATGCGAGTAGGTAGTTACCAGTTTCACCACCAGGTGGCTACTTCGGGGGAAATAACATGGCAGGGTATTACAAACTTCCCTTAAACCTGAATATTCATCAGTTTTAGTGGTTCACTTTTCATATAACCCTTATGTATGTGATAGATTTACAAATTAAAATATGTCCAGTAAAAGAAAATATTATCTACCCAACACAAGATATTTCGCTTTTTGTGGTTTTACAACATGGGGTCTATGGGGAATCTCCCCGCCCTGGAAGTCACATTTTCAAAGAAAATTAAATTTTCAAAGTTGATAAACTCTTTTCAAAACCACATTTCTAGATGTAATTTTAATGACGTAAATCAAGATTATTTTTACTCGCATCTAGGATATTGAGATTTGTAATCTATAGATGTAAATACACATACAATACTAAGATCAAATAACGAACACAAGATTATTAAACTGTACCTGAGGTCCTTTTATGGGTTGCAGCTACAATGCTCCTCAGCTGATCGACATATCTGCTTTTTGCATCGACATCAAACAAGTTACCTATGCCGGCTGAGAAACAATCTAGCATTTACACTAAATTCTCTAAACAATACAATTCATCATTCATATAATAAATAAATCGATTTTGTACATAAACTATCTCTCAATAATACACCAATTAAAGTTACATTTAATTATCTAATTTGCTGTAAAAGCTGTATACCTGAATACCTTACATTGACTACTTATGACTACTCTTGCTTCTATTATCCCGGTAGGTCCACTTAGCGCAACTTGAAAGTGACTTTCAAACAGTGATGACAATGTGCTACTGGTACAATACACAGCAACAACAATCGCATCAGTGATGATTTATTCACTTGCGCTCTATACTACAACTAAGTTGATTTCCATATTTCATGCTTTCAATCATATTCAGCTACTGTACATGTCTGCTTGAAAAAATGTATACTAAATATTAATAAAAAAGGACTAAATATACTTTACTCTCACACTAAAATGTAGTAATAAAGGCTACAATACAATACAATATAATTTGAATATATTTATTGCAAGTAATTTACATATTACCTGACACAATAGGAAAAATTCAGGGAGAATATATTGTTGTAATGTATTTGATAATGATTGATTACTTGATAGTGTAGCTAGTCTAAATGGAAGTTTAATGTTTAGTTGGACATGAATATTAGAATTAAAAGGGCAAGAAAGTAGGATTTTGGATATGGGCAGCATTTTCATCACATATATTCTAATAATAAGATGATTACCTTTAGGTGAATCTTGCTCTTCAGGTAAATCACCACTGTTTATTTTGGACAATAACTTTGTTACGAGTTCATTGTCACAAAAGCCTTGGACTCTCCCAGAACCTTAAACATCAGCTGCCTTATTTTATCTTAATACATGTCACAATATAAGGCACAAAATATGAGAAAATCAGGACAATCAAATGTTTGTGATGTATTTTAATGTCTACATAATCATTGCAAATTCTACTTTTAGAAGTCCATGTTTCAAGCCAAAAATCATTACAATTGTTCAATATTTTGAATCTCCTTTTTAACATCATTAATTTGAAAACACATGTCGCTTAAAGCAGGTACATTGTATGTGGAGTTTACTTACATACTATCTCTACACTGCCCTCATTATAGAACATCATCATTCCCATAACGCCTGTTCTGGTGTATAGTTCCTTGACCTAAATAAAAAATTATTAGTGAAGCAATTTCCATCAAATAGCCATGGCTGCCATTTTCACTAAATCCTTATACTAATTTTTCAGTTATAGCAAATCACAATATAACATACATAAAAATGGCTGTATAACATAATATATATTTATATTAGAACAAACAAGACATAAGTGATTTTACCACCAATAAAGCAAGTGGGCGCCTGAACAAATTGACATTTTAAAGAAGCTTGCACCTAAAAGATCTTAATTGCATCCACATGAAAAATCAGAAAATCAAGAAAAAGAGTTTTACATTCACTTGATCAAGCCTTTTTTCAAAATCTAAGGTGGGTGCTGCAGCCACTTTTTGGGATTAATTGGTATTACACTTGAATATGGTGGCTTAATGGCTCTGCCATAGGGTATCAATCTAATAGCAACAGTAACAACCACGTCACATTTCCCACGGCCGCCATGCGGTCTATCATTTCTGCGGCCAGTAGCTTTTCTACGCTCGCCGTAGAATTTCTGCGCTCTTATACTTTTGCAGTCACATTTCCCACAGCAGCCGCACGGTGAATATTAAATTTCTGTTGATAAATAATACTTTTTTCATTTTATTTACATTAGGACAATTTATAAATATTATTCATTTAGGATGTAATATCAAATGAAAAGTGATCGTGAAACATTGACAAATAATGATTCAATCTTGTTGAGCCAGTTGATTTCTATGGGGACCTCAGAAATGAACAAATATTATAACTCCGAGTTATAATTTCTATGGCGACCCTGCGGCCCGTAAAAAACTGGATACGCCTTACGGAGGCCGCGAGGTGAGCATAGTTTTTCTACGCTCGCTGCAGAAATTCACTAATTTAATTGATCTGAGGTCGACGCACGGCCTCCGTACGACAAATGTGACTGGGATGTTACTCACCTCTTTCTTCAATTGAGAAATTTTGCGTTTAGCAAAATGTTTCCTCTTCTTGCTGTCAGTCATAAACTGGCCTTTGAACTTCCCTGCCTGTAAACAGCAATACATCATGAATTCATGAAGGTTCAAATACATACGAGAGGAATGATCTAACAAGAAACAAGTTTATTAGATTAATTGACTCTCTGACGTCGTAGACAATGAGATTTTACAGGGCTGTAATGTCAAGAAATTTAATAACATGGATACAGTTCACTGATTTTTAAAATTGGATAATTGACTAATAGTAATACTGAAAAAATGTATACCATATTTGGTTTCAATGGAGGTGAATAAATCTTTATTTAGGATATCCTTTGGCTGTTCTTCTTATACACACAGATCACTCACTCTGAAACACATGAAAAGTAAATTGTCATAAAAGAATGCATCATTTCCATGACAAAATTTATTGGATTGGATTCCCGATTGTACAGACTCACAGCGCTTGTCCAGCTTTGGGACTAGTTCTGAGAACACCTCAAGCTTTTTCCTGTACAACATGGGAGAATCATTCAAGCCTCCTACACTTTAAATACGTACGTCAATAGATTCCTGAATATTTTAGCATTCTTTGAATCCCCAATTATCTTGGTTATCAGTAGAACAGGGACATTTTTCTTTTTCATTGTGAGAGATTCCATCACTTTTCAAGATGGCTGTTGGATTCAAAAGGAATGCCCCTTTTTGACTGTTGCTACAGAGCCCGGAAGTACCGGATTTTCTCGCATATAAGCCCTGGGCATAAAACTGAAAGAAGGGGTAATTTCGTCTGTTATTTTACCTCTTATTTTTCGCCCATGGGCATATAAGTGTACTACTTTCGATTTTTGGCCCAGTGGGCGTAAAGGTGAGAAGAGCTGATGTATACAATGGTATAGTACTGGATTACCGTACCTACTGTTGTAGTCCTACCGCATGTTTTGTAAGAATTATAAAGGAAATGTCACCTACAACCTTGGACTTAATGTTGAAACAAAGTAACAACAGAACGATCCACCACTGCCACTTACGGCACAGCTTTGAACTTAATGTTGAAACAAAGTAACGACAGAACGATCTGCCAGTGACAAAATACTCTTGAATTTATTGAAAATATCAATAAATAGTCATTTTTTATAGGCCCATGGGCGTATAAGCGTACTACATTCGATTTTTGGCCCATGGGTCTAAATTTAGGGGGGCGTATATGCGAAAAAATCCGGTACCAATAAATGGAAAAAATTGACAGTTGAAATAAGTTCAAAAATAAGTTAAATATTACACGCAAATATTGCGATCAAAACGTAAATTTCTTCGTTCTACCGATAAACCCAGACGATTGGGGATTCAACTACATAAAGAATGCTAAAATACTCAGGAATTTATTGAGGTAGATCATTCTCCCATGTTGTAATCGTACAGGCAAAAAATTGAGATCTCCTCAGCACTAAAGTCATGGTTTGGGATAACACAGCGACAGGTATTTAGCATTAATGAGACTGATGCCATGTAGGCGCTGCTGTGACCCTCCGTCAAGGCACATAAAGCCTAAGTATTAAAGATATAAGCCCATGTCATCTCTAAAATTGGAGGGTAGATATCCAACACAAGACTATAGGTGGAATTACACCTACAATGTAAAAGCGCTTTTTAAAATCCTATTGGGTTTCGACACGCCTTTAGAGTCAGGTGTAATCACGATCGCAGATTTAGAAAAGCGCTTTTGTAATCCTCCCAGACCCCTAGTCATTAAAACCCCTTTCACACCCAAAGGCGGTTTAACGTGTAGGTGTAATACCGTTTGGTTTTCAAGGCGCTTTAACTCGATTTTACACTGAACGAAAACTATATTTGCGCATGAGCATCAAGCATGTTATTGATTTCCGGTGTGGAGGAAACTTCAAAAAACAAAATTCAAATATTGTGCAAAACTCAATCAAATCACCAAAATGTCGAAACAAAGTAGAATTTATTGGGACCACGTCAATACAGCAAGTTCACTACATTGCCAAATGTCTCTCTACCCATCCGAAAGTTCCTTCGGAAATCATCATTATTCCACGTTCTACAAAGAACAACGCAATTTGTAAATAGAATAACCGTAAATTAAATAAATAATATTATACTATTGACGACGGATATTAATGATTCAGCATCCCGAACAGAAGAAAGTAGCTAATATTTTGAGCACCATAGTATTATGATAATAGCTCTTCTCGATCACTTTGACGCTCACTGGGCCAAAAATCTAAAGTCTTATATTTATACGCCCATGGGCGTATAAAAAATGATAAAATAACGGACGGAATTACCCCTTCTTTCAGTTATACGCCCAGGGCTTATATACGAGAAATTCCGGTACTATTGTAGATTGGGGAAGGCGAGGGGAGGGGATGATTGAATAGTTGAAATTACCTCTCTACAATGAAGTCAAAAAAATGACGAGATCTTTGTCTTGTCCACATAGTTCGTTCCTGTCCCATATTACCAAGGATGCCAAACAGTCCCAACAAAAGTACGATCTTCATTTTACTGGATCTCTCTTGGATCTCTCCTAATGACCGAGCTTCTCTCTTTGCACGCTTGTGCATTGTTTTCCATGCTTTCTTTAGCACATATTTGTTAACGCCAGAGGTAGATTGAATACGATTTAAGAAAAAAAGGAACATACAGTATCGGATCATTTTGAATCTCCAGAGATGGCGCTACGGTTGAAAGTGTATATCTAAATAGCAGATTTTGATGCAAATGCGATGGTTGATGGCAAATTTTTGTCTTAAATCAGTCTAAAAGCGCTTTAGAAAAATCAAGTGTAATCACGAAAAGTTGTCTTCAAGGTGCTTTTAAAATTCTGGTGTAATCAGGATTGCGGTTTTCTAGCCTACGTTACCCAAAACGCCTTGAAAACGCCTTTAGCCATGAAATAGGTGTAATTCCACTAAATATCAACAGAACGAATGACAAGGTATTAGCTAGACTGGTGTAAGTTTGGACATCAGAGCTTTCAATTAGACATGTGGAGGACTGGGAAATCAAAAAATCAAAAGGGACGTCTGAATGTTAGGCCTTCGTACATGATATTCAGTTCATCTTTCGAATAAATTCTGAAATTGATCTTTCTGGATTAATATTATTCATTCTAGCCATTTACCTTAGATTATTCGATTCTTTGCAGTTGATTCTTTGCAGATTCTTTGGAAATAATGTTGCAGTCGGAAGTAGAACTTTAGACCCTTCTTTTTGAAGAACCTGTCGTAAAGTTCAAAAGTTCAGCAGTACTTACTATGCAATATCTTCATGATACATTTGTTTAAATCTTTATTTGTTCATTAATTATTGTTACTTGATGCATAAACTTATTCAACAACACAAAACTCAATTAAAAAAAAGGTAACTATAACGACATTTACACGATTCAACCACGGGTGAAGAACACATAGAGTACCGCACAATACCTCTAACAAACTTGTGAAGAAAGAAATTACAGAGCTTCACATTCGAAGTCGAATAAAACATAAATATGAAGCTGTTGCTAGTTCTGTTAGCTGTCGTCGTGTGTGCCAGTGCTTTAGAAAGGTAAACTACTATTTAGGTTAAAAATTTCTATCCATGAGAGAAGTTTGAGCATGGTGTTTGAAATCAGGAAGTCAAGAATAAATATTGTTCACTGTTGACATTCTCTTCAGTTGAAGGCCAAATGAAAAGGCTAGATATCTATAGATGATGCACAGATTCCTCAGTGGGTAATAAGAGTGCAAGAAGTCTGCAGGCAAACCCCCTGTACTCTTATTCCCCACCAAAGAGCCTGTGCTCTCAACTGCAGCTGTAATTGTAACTACTATTTTTTTCATGGCCTGAGTTCGTGGCTAACATGCTAAATATAAGAGTTGGCTGACGTTTGGGAGACTGACTTACCTTCTAAAGGTTAGAACCCGAAACCATATCACCTTTGTTCCGTCAACCATGGAGCATTTGCCACAACATCCAAGAGGTAAATCATTGACCGTGAAAATGAATGATTTCCTTGTAAGTTCCGGAAGTTTCAAGACGCAAAATTACCGAACATATGTGAAAACCGAATATTTGTTCGTTGTTTTCACGATTTACAAGTTCGTCTGTTCTCCAATGTTTTGGTCTAAATTATAAAGCATCACCAACAGGTCTTACTGACATGCTTGGTTGACACGTCAACAAAGTAAAGTTCAAGGGTCAATGCGTTATTTCGTGATAACTACAACGCCTTCCCGGAAGTCAACATTGATGAAAAATGAAAAAGTTGGAAAAGCATTTACACTAATTTCTATCAAATGCTATGTTTATGCATCATCATCGACGCAACAAAGGTGATATGGTTTCATTAAGATTCGGGTTCTAACCTTTAGAAGGTAAGTCAGACTCCCAAACGTCAGCTTACTCTTATATTTAGCATGTTAGCGACAAACTCAGGCCATGAAAAAAATAGTAGGGGTGAAACGAATACTCGAGCCTCGGTTGCAAATGGGTCTGAGGTGATATTCGAATGGCATTTTGTGGTATTCGAATATTCAACGATTGACTGCACATGGGCGCCGATTTAGTCTCCCGCCAAGACAAACCCAATTCTAAGGCAATCTCAATATAGATTACACGTTTACTCACCTACTCCTGGTTAACTGTTAAATAATAAGAACATAACCAGGAGTAAGAGTCATCTGCAGCTCTTTCTCTGAGCACTGCTGATTAATCCAGTGGCATCCATAAGAGTAAAATACTTGAATATAAAGTTAAAAACATTCGTTTGTACGAGAGGCAATCTGCGCCAGGTTCGTTTTAAGGTTCGGTTTTTAGCGCATGCACTTGGAACAAGTATTTACAATCATTCATAACATAACCGTTGCATTGTCTTATCGTCTACAACTTCACTATTTATTGTGAATTTGAATACATTAAAAAAAGTTCTACAGTAATCGGCAATCGTTTCTTTTCGTAATTATGTATGGTATGTGTTTTAGAACCATCGTATATTTGGTGTTTTCCGATCACGTATAAAATAAGTTTAGAATTAAATGTTAATAATATAATACGTCAAAGCAGGTCTGTGAGACAGTGACCAGGCGACTATTCCCCAGACACTGGTATAAAGGTAAAACAGGTAATGCATGTAAAACAGATTCAGCTAGCACTGGTGCAGGGGCGGCCAATGGTTCAGTGACTGGCATGTATTAGGGTGCATGGTGCCTTGACTCTTTTTCTTTTTCTCTTTTTTTTAACAAATATTCGGGGCCGAATGGGGATTTGCTGGCTGAATATTCGGTTTGAGAATTTACTATTCGTTTCAGCCATAATTGTAACTGAATTACAGTAAAATTTCACGAAGTGTCTGGAGAACTTTACATTTTTTTAGCCAAAATGTTAAAGAGCCTTAAAATTTAAGGCTATTCAGCTGTGAACATAGTATTTTGGCTAGAGAGCCCTGGGGTTTATAATCCATGTTTATATTGTTTTTTATTGATGTTTACGTAATCTAGACAATAAAACAACAGTCTCTAGTTTTTCGACACAGAATGCCACTTAAAAATATAACACACGTATATCGCTACATATTTGCAAAAATTTAGGACATGCAATCATGTGCAAGCCACTCTAATCTAGTGGTTATGGCGTTCGCCTAGTACTCCCACGGCGCAGGTTGGATTCCACTTTGATACAATTTTTTTATTATGAACAACAAACCGGAAGTTTGTTCTCTGAGGTCCAGAAATTATGTACACAATTTCTCAAAAATTCATGGGGTCGCTCCAAGGCGAATATTGCACATTTGGGGCATGTTTTGTAAAGTACTGTAGTTTTTGACAAAATTGACAGATTATCATCAGAACAAACCATCCAGAACAAAATTCACATTGAATGAACTGAATAATTCAAAAATTTCAAGACAAAATATGCAAAATTGACCGAATTATTCAACTTTTTTACGGTTCTGTTTTTTTGGACACCCTGTATAAAGCATGGATTCTCAAAATGATTGCTATATATCTCTTGAAAGCCCATGGTCAAGGATTGTATCTCTTAGATGTTTGAAAAATCTTTGGATTTTCTATTTTTCTGTTTTAGGATCAAGCTCCATAGAGTACATACTGTAAGACGTACACTGAAGGAGTTGAACAATGACGTTGCTGCCCTTCAGAAAAGATACACACAGTACACTGGCCCAACTCCAGAACCTCTTTCAAACTACCTTGATGTAAGTGTTTGTTTCCTTGGTTATTAGGTAAGATGAGGCATCTTTTATTACACCAACGCATATTGATTGCTTGTTTTTGAGGTCACTATTGAATAATTAGTGCTAGTTTCTTCACAGTTAAAAAATAGAAAATAAGATTTGTTTTCTCATGTTTATCATAGCATTTCTCAGTTTAATTTATTTCACATCAGAATGCACAGGGCAACATTTGAAGAACAAAAATACCATATCAAACTTTATCTTTCCACTAGCCTTATTAATATGTACATGAAGTACACAATAATATAAACTATTTTAAACAAATCCATTCCAACATTCTAAAGGAAACTTACTTATTAATATAGAATGTATAGGCGCCTTAGTCAAATTCATTATCTATCTAAAGCATAGATTTTCCATAGATGGAAAATTTCAACAGAAAATTGTATGTATAAATTATCACAAATTATATTCCTTTATAATTTGTAGGCTCAATACTATGGTGAGATTGGTATTGGATCACCTGCCCAGCCATTCAAGGTTGTCTTTGACACTGGCTCTTCCAACCTCTGGGTACCCTCCAAAAAATGCAAACTCTCTGATATTGCCTGTTGTAAGTAGCATTTTACGTCACTATTTAACATTGTCTTACTCCATTTTTCTTGAATTTTGTAATGGAAAATAAACACCTTTCAAAACTACATTTCTAGCGATTTGAAAACATTATTAATGAATTTTTAGTTGTTAACATTTAGACAGTTATGTTACTTGTTGATTAACTGCCTTGTATATATGACTCCATTTAAACAATGTTGTAACTTATTCCAAATATACAACATCTCCTGTGAACTAAGAGAAACAAATGCACACAAAAACATGTTTCTGGTAGTCTTTTTGACATGCTACATGAGAGTAGAATCTATATATCTATATAAAATTGGTAAGAACAGAAAAAAGATGTTAGAATTTAAAAGCAGATAGGTCCAAGGTGCAATATTATTAAATGATATGATCAATTAATTGCTTAAAAACAAGTAGAAATGCTAATAAGAGAATGTACGAGGTGAAGCAGGTACAATACTAATCCATGATTGAACAAACAAAAATGATGAATATCTCATGCAGTACTTGTTTCTAGACATTTGAACAACTTTCATTTTGTCAAACTTTGGAGCATTGTGATAACTTAGATAAATAAACAAGATAAATATCAGCTGACCATAAGGAAGCAAACACCTTGTGATGTAGAATAATCACTATAGACTGTGGACTACTCTGATAATTGCAACTTCCATTTTTCATGGAAGGTCACACATTCCAACATATTTCAAACAGTCTGTATGATTATGCTAGGCACTTTCTGGGTAGTTGGACTTCATGTAGGGGTGGCAGACGGCCCTCAGGCCAATTCATACCCCCACCCTAAGAAAACCTTGGGGGGTACTTTAATACCACCTGATAAAAAGAATACTAATGCATGTCATATATTCATAGTTTTATAGTAGGCAGAACATACCATGGTTAGTCAGTGCCAGAAATGTCCAATCTCTAACTTATATGGTTACCATGGAAACAGTATTTATATCTCAAAATCTTCTCAATTTGACCTCCTCCAAAATATGTCCCTTAGCCCCCAAAGTGAAATATTTGCAAATTTGTTTGGAATTTGTGGCTGCAACTTTGTCAAAAGTTGTATAAATATGTATATATTCACACTAAAGCACTAAAAAGTTGATATAATGCTCCAATAAATCAATAATATCTATCAAATATAGTCACACACAACTACTTTTAGGGAAAAGTGGGCGTGGCACTTTTTGGAACTTGTGTAATTGTTGCAGCATTAAGCAAAAAATACATATTACACTAACAATAATTGACATTTAATTATCATTTACTAACATTGTGTAACATTGTAATATGTTCATTATCATTATGAGATACTTAAATTATTTTATGTAAGTGTTATCATGAACTTTCCTTTTATCCCTATACCATACAAGGTGGGCATCACCAATGGTGTCAAACTAACTTTTCTGTTTAACTTATTTTTTACCATAGACAAGGGAAAAAGCTTTACTTGAAGTCGTGACCTCATTAGGTGCTATGTATATGGATAGATGGATTGATACTAGTCGGTAGATGGCAGCACTTGTGCTAGTTGGGCTAGATACAAGTATTTACCATTGACTTGACATGTGTCACTTAGTCTATTGATTTACCATATTCGTTCTGTTGGATTAAAGTAAAACTGCATTTGCATTGAATTTGATGATATTCAGATTGTGTTTGAAACTTGATGATAATCAGAAGTGTTTGAAACTGGATGTTGTTCAGATTGTGTACACATGAACTTTAATAGGACCACTGAAACAATAAGTCAATGTTTAAGATTCTTTAAAATTATCTCAATGAGAATTTAGCCTGTTAACCTATAGTTAAACTACACTTCAGCAAGATTTCGAAGCTATATAACAAATCTCATAATTTGCAACTTTTTCATTATTTGATAATTTAACCCATTATTCTTTATTGCTGATTTAAAAATTGCAAGGAATTCAAATGACCTAGGGAAGCCAGTGATATGAATTGGCCTTATTCATTGAGTTACATTAAAATGGAAAATTGTGAAGAACAAGAGAACTGTTCCACGGCTTCACAGGAAATATGGAAGCAAAGTCAACAAGGGATGTGGGAACTAGGCTGTTAACATATAGAGATTTAGAACTCTCCAGGGAAGTGTCTCTATTTGGTATAAAATACACAGGTCTATTCATGCACACCATTTTAAATATGAATCAAAATTAGTGATATCCATGTTTCTGGTGAAAGCATTAATTGAAAGAGACAAACATCCTACCCCAATGGTATAAAATATAAGGAAGTTCGAAGCAGTAAAAAGGTATTACCATTTTAGATTTGATTGAACAAATTGAATCAGAGGCAATTTTTAAATTTCGATATATTAAAAGAGGCTCTCTTGGTTAGATGGGAGAATTAGCTGCATGTTAAAGGTGCCGCTTTGTTCAGTTTATAACAAAATTGATATTAAGCCCGAAACAGTAAGAAATGTTAAGCAAATATTTCATTCTATGGAGGGCAATACCTGTTCATCTTTCAATGATTTTTGCAATATGTATTGCCCGCAGCCCGTAGGGCGATGGTAATGCATGTTGCAAAAATCATTGAAAGTGCAGTTGTCAGAATCCCCAGGCGGGCAATACGCTGGACAATACGTCTTTTAAATATGGAAATAATTCAGTGAGCTGTGAAATACGCTGGTATTTTTAGTCACATGGTTCTGAATTAGCCAATCAAATCACACGATTTATAGCAATGATGCAATAATTAGTGCTACTTCCATGAACACCCGTTTTGTAGAATAAGATTCTGATTCTCGTATTTGGTATATATATGAATTAGACAAAGGCAAATCCAGTCGAACATCTTGTTGAGCATCAAACAAAGGTACAAGCTATATATCATTTCTCAAAATGGCCACTTTACTGAAGAAATTGTCAAAAGATTATATGTATCATGTTTTAATGTATTTACTTTTAAATATAGCTGTCTTAATAAGTACACATGATGAAAATACAGGCACAAACAAAATGCATACTTTCTGAAACCCTGCGTTTGGATATTGATAAATTGAATGATATTGGCTAAAAACTTCTGTCAGAATTGAAACAATATTTCCCCAAGAAAAGTCAACATTTCAAAACAACAGCAATAGCTAGAACTATCCTATTTAGATGTTTACTTGACAGTATGGAAAATTGGGGAAGCATGACAGAGAATCATAACAGATAGAGGTAGAAAGATTTGATAAAGAAAATGGAGTTTTGGTGTCGGGGGGGGGGGGGGGTGGGGCGTGTAATTGTATACTTGTTTATAAAATTGATAAAATGACATATTCTAGACAAGAATTACATTATGTAATATCTGCAAAATGATGCACTATGCAATTCATACATGGAATAATTTATTTTGCCATATTGGAATCAAGTATTTTCGTTAATCCATTGGATAGATCATGCATTACCTGATGTTGATAATAGAATCAGTTAGTCAATTGTATGACACCATTTATCCGAGAAAACCTTAGTTATGTATTAAGGCAGGGCATAACATTTCACATATCGTTTATTCATGTTTACTACATCTATGGTTCCAATGTCATTTAAGCCTGATTTGGTGCAAATGTCAAAGCATAACATCAACTCTAAAGTAGTTTAATTCAATGAAAATTAAAAATATCAAAATCGACAATTACTGTCCGCCATCTTAGATGCGAAGGCTACGGCCGTTACCTTCACTTGGTACTGATCAGTGTCGGTCCATTACTTTTCAATTGCATAAAATGGCTCTAACCCTGACAAATGTATTAATCAATTTTAACTCATAGGTCTTGATCAATGAAACTATTTATATTCTAGCTTCAAGTCAATGAATACAACTTTGACAAGCTAAAAAGACTAAGGACCTCTAGGACTTAAAAGTTAATGACCTATGATAGGGAAGGGTCATGATAACACTTATATAAAATATTTAAAGTATCTAATAATGATAATGAACATACTACAATGTTACACAATGTTAGTAGATGCTAATTAAATGTCAATTGTTGTTAGTGTAATAAGTATTTTTCATTTAATGCTGCAACAATTACACAAGTTCCAAAAAGTGCCACGCCCACTTTTCCCTAAAAGCAGTTGTGTGTGACTACATTTGATAAATATTATTAATTTATGAGATCATTATATCAAGTTTTTAGTGCTTTAGTGTGAATACATACATATTAATTCAACTTTTGACAAAGTTGCAGCCACAAAATCTAAACAGATTTGCAAATATTTCACTTTGAGAACTTAAGGACACATTTGGGATGGGGTCAAATTGAGAAGATTGTGAGATATAAATACTGTTTCCATGGTAACCATATAAGTCAGAGATTGGAAATTTCTGGCACTGACTAACCATGGCATGCCCTACCAATTATAAAACGATGAATATCTGATATGCATTAGTATTATTTTTATTGGGTGGTATTAAAGTACCCCCAAGGTTTTGTTGGGGTATGGGTAAAAATAGGCCTGAGGGCCTTCTGCCACCCCTACATAAAGTCCAACTACCCAGAAAGTGTCTATTATAATCATACAAATTGTTTGAAATATGTTGGAATGTGTGACCTTCCATGAAAAGCGAGATCCATTTCTAGAGCACTTCTACAGAATAGTCCACAGTCTACTATATAGTATTTAGTAAATATATTTAATGCATACTCTAAATGATTTGTTAATGGAATTTTAACAATAATTCTTCTTTGCATGAACATTTTATTTGCACTAAAATTTTTTGTGCGCTATAGTTTTTTTTGCTCCACAAATATGTCATATTTGGCAGTTCAATTTATTAGGTTAGGCTAATTTAAACAAATAAGGGGAATGATGCAAACATTGAATTCTTTCCTTTACAATAATGCAATCTGTGTCTAGTCCAAATGTCACTTGGACTGGCTTAAGTGTTCAGATTCGCAAGTGTTCACATATTAATTTTTCATGAAAAAGGCATGCACCGGGAGGTGTTCTGTTTAGAGAGGTGACACTTCTATAGTGTCTATGGTAAATTCTGATATAGAAGAAACACAAGAGAATTCTTAGAGCAAAGAACTTTTAGGATTTGGGTGATAAATTATCTCCAAAAGCTTCACTTTCTCATGTGATTTAGCTATCTTGGTATTCAAGATTTGATATCACTTGAATTGAAGATAGAAAGTTCATTGTTCAAGTACTTGTGAAAAGTGAATATTTGCTTGGATTTTGAGCGTTGAGTAAATATTTCTCATATAGCAAGCCCCTGTATTCCAACCATTATATCTAAATTTAGTTAGGCGGATAGCTAGTGGGGGAGGGGGGTAGTCTTAATTGTAACTTTCAGCATTCAAATACAAATGATTGAATAAGAGCCTATGCTAGGCTTTCCAGGCAAGCATGTTTATCATGATTGAGCTTGAATTGAGACTCTGACATCTGTGAAAAAAAGAATTTAATAATACAGAATAGGATTAGGTATCCACAGTAAACTAATTTAAGTGAAAATTTCTTACTCGAGTAAGCAACTATCGGCGGTTAACCATCAACAGCCCTAGTCTTTTGTGAGTTCACAGTAAATTTCTCTTATTATCCTTTTTTCTTATCTTGCAAATTGCATTTACTGTATTGATTGCAACTTGGGGGAGAGAGATAGCAACTAAGTGTAAGAATCTGCTAAACAGTATTATGTACAGTTAAAGTGAACACCTCTCTCTAGGGAACACCTTTCTCTATTGGACATCCTTCCTCTGCACATACTCTACTGACTTCTGTATAAATTACACTCTCCTCTCTGTACAGAACACCTTCCAACACTGAACATTTTTTCTCTGCAAATTCATGTTTACATAGGTTTTGCTGTAAAATTAAAGTGAATTTTCAATCAAGAGTACAATATGATTTATTTGCATTTTCAGTATTGCACAACAAATATGACGCCACCAAGTCCAGCACTTATGTGGCCAATGGAACGACATTTGAGATCAAGTATGGATCTGGAAGCTTGTCAGGTTTCCTCAGCAAGGACACAGTCACCGTAAGTCACCCTACCATACATCAGCCAAGTTACCCCCCCCCCCCTCCCCCTACTTGTTAATTCAATTTCCTTCATTTTATTGAGATTTTAACAGAGATCAAAATTATTTGTTTATTCGAAATTGTTGTGAGAGTCATGTTTTCAAGCAATGGAGCAATAAATGAAATGAATTGATTAAAACATTACAGAAAATGAGTGCATGTGGTTGCTACAACTTGAATTGATTAATTAAAGCTGGACATTGCTCCAAAACGCAATATGTTGACATATATTGTTTTTACATTTTTAAGCTCTAATATAAAGTTTATGTAAATAAAAATTGTTTTTTTCTGCGTTATATCAAAGAACAATCATTTAGTTAAAAAAAATAAAAAGGCGAATGCGGGATTCGAACCCGGGCCTCCCGCGTGCTAAACGAGAATTGTACCCCTAGACCACCGTCTTCTAATGCATGTTAGAAGTAATTTAACGCTACTTATTTTGAATGCTATGATTCGGAAGTGACGTCACGTTCTTCATTTACAAACTTTTCCAAAATCATATCGTCGGCGCCGACTCGAAGCAATTCAATGAATAATCTTTGAAATGACACATTTATCGTAAGTATTTCTACACAAGATTTGCCCCATTTGTTCATCATTCTATAATCTTTCATTAGGCTCAAAATGATAAAGTTCACCCCCGAAACAACCCAAGATTGCTTTTCGGAGCGCAGTCCAGCTTTAAACTTGAAATGTATTTAATTTAATTCAAACATTTAAGATTTAAAAATCAGATATGATTATTATTTTCAATCATTAGGTTGGTGGTCTAGCAGTAAAAGGCCAAACATTCGCTGAGGCCACTCAACAGCCTGGTATCACATTCGTCGCAGCTAAATTTGACGGAATCCTGGGAATGGGATATGACACTATTTCTGTGGACCGTGTTACTCCTGTCTTTTACAATATGGTTGCCCAGAAGCTTGTTCCAGCACCAATCTTCTCTTTCTACTTGAACAGGTAAGGATTTTTACTTTTCAAATATCACATGGTTTACATTAGTGTTGTCGCGATTAATCGATACATCGCGATATACATCGCCAAAGCTGATTCTGGCGATGCATCGATGTCTGATGTCTGAAACAAAGTTTTATGTCTGAAACTGTTTTAGCTAGTCGAAATGAACCATTAATCTAAAAAAAATACTTTACTTTCATTTCACCCTTACTAGAAGTTCCCGGATGTACCGGATGTTCGGTATTTTAGTGCATTAGCGTTCGGTATTTCAGTGCACTTTTCTCGGACTTTTCTTGATGTACGTCGCGATGTGCATCGATGTTTACTACTGAAAATTGCCGATGCATCGATGTACGATTATGGCACATCGCGACAACACTAGTTTACATATAAAAAATGAAAGTGGTGACTTTTGTTCAGAAAGTTTACAGGTATGGCTTGCATTTCTTCAAAAACTAGGAGGGAAATTGTTTAAAAGTAAGAAATTAGCAAAAATACCAAAATGTACATCTTACTGTCAATTTTATCAAGATAATTGGTTAATTTTTTGTTTTCCAGAGATCCTTCTGCTTCAGAGGGTGGTGAACTTATCCTTGGAGGCAGTGATCCTAAATTCTACAAAGGAGACTTTGCATACGAGAAAGTCACCAGGAAAGGGTACTGGCAGTTTGAAATGGATGGGTGAGTACACTTTTAATTTTTATGTCACCACCAAAAGTGGTGGCATATTGTTATAGTCTCAATTTTTTGTTACGGCTGTTGGTCCCCGGGATTCAGCATCTGTAACAAATGGAAGGTGGTGAAAATTTGCATGTTAATGCCTTGTCTTACCTTGTCACATAACTAGAAAGTGGTGATCATGAGGATTGTCAATCACTCCCTGGCACAAGAACCTCTAGCTCATCATCAAATGCCTATATATCTTTTATGGCAACATTGTTCATTTACTCGTACACAAAGGTGGGCTCTAAAGGGTAGTGTTGTCGCGATTAATCGATACATCGCGATATACATCGCCAAAGCTGATTCTAGCGATGTATCGATGTCTGAAACAAAACATCGATGTTTTTAAAAATATTTAGTTTGCTAAAAATCATCCTTTCTTATCTTATTTTGACGCAAATCGTTTACCTTTCTCATGTCTTATTTCATTTTCCAATGTTTTCTGAAATTCTTTCGCTTTAAAACTGTTTTAGCTAGTCGAAATGAAGCATTAATCTAAGAAAAATTACTAGAAGTTCCTGGATGTACCACCATACTTGTATTAATATGTTCTGTTTGGTATTTTAGTGCATTAGCGTTCGGTATTTCAGTGCACTTTTCTCTGACTTTTTCTCGATGTACATCACGATGTGCATCAATGTTTATTACTGAAAATTGCGGATGCATCGATGTACGATTATGGCACATCGCGACAACACTACTAAAGGGTTGCCAGCCAATAGATGGCACTATTCTACTACTTCAAACTTGTGGTTCAGCTTTGTATGCCTATATTATAGTATTTCTTCACAGATGAACCTTTATAACTGGAAGCCCAACATCATTTACTGTATATGTTATGTAACAGCATTGATCCTTTTTTCTAGCATAAAAGTGGGTTCCAAAGAAACCCTTTGTGGTGGAGGTTGCCAGGCAATCGCTGACACAGGCACCTCTCTCATTGGTGGCCCAACATCAGAAGTGAAAAAAATCAATAGAGCACTAGGTGCCATTCCAATCATTAATGGGGAGGTAATAAATGGTACTTAAACAAGACCCTTATGCTTTTACCAGCACAGCAAATAAAGGGGAGACCATATTAATGAAAAGTATTGTTTTATGAATGGGTGTGCCCTCTTTTACAATGAGGAGAAAGGAGAATTGGTCCACTAAATTAAATGATATATCCTGCTTTTATCGTAGCACCATGAAGGGAGACGAAGTCACAATTGTTTCATTGACCTATACTTAATATGTCCAAATTATGCAATTATAAAACCAGGCTTCTTTTTCTTAGGCACAACCAATGGCGATGAAGAGATCAGCTTTTCTCCTTTTCATCATAATTTGGCTTTACCATGCACAACAAACCCAGCACTGGATTGTTCTAGTATTAAACAGCATTGCGGGTTAATGGAGATTCAAGCTACACTGGTACCTCACCAACTGCTGGACCAACCACACAGATAAACACTGCATACCTATAACAGCACATATCAATTTGTTTTAGTATTAAGACTGCAAGCGGTGCTGCTTTCTGTAGTGGAGGTTGCCAAGCTATTGCTGACACTGGCACTTCATTGATTGCTGGACCTACTGCTGAGGTCACCAAGCTTAACACTGCTATTGGAGCAACACCTATAGTTGGTGGAGAGGTATACAGTGATTACCATATAAAACAAAACTGTGTCAGTTTGATGGTTTTATAATTCATAAGAATACAACAAGAAATGGATTTAGGTAAATTACAAAGGCTTGTTGTGTAATATAAAAAATGTTATGTATCAAAATGAGTCAGGATTTAGCTTTCAATGCAACATTTTATTTCATTACTTTTTCAGTACATGATTGACTGCAACAAAATCTCATCTCTGCCCAACATAGATTTCACTCTTGGAGGAAAAGTCTTCACACTGACAGGAAAAGACTATGTTCTTCAAGTAAGTAGCTTTATATCTCCTTATTTGATTGTATTATCATTTCCTCGTCTTTTGCATCCAAACAGAAAGCTTCTCTTTTAATGTGCCCTTGTTTGGTGCTTTGGACTTAGGTACAGTATAGTGAACAGCCAAAGAAACCCATGTAACTATTAATTGTCCCACATAAATAAAAGGAAGGCGCTTCAAATGTAGGTATTTTACTCGCATATTCCTGTGTTTAAAGATAAGATTCCCAATGCACTATAGATAAGCAAAACTCTGTACATGTATTAAAAATGTATTTATTTTTTAACCTTAACATTTATTTCTATTTACCAATATTCATAGATTTTTACTGCACCGAATGATGTAAAATGTCACGATAATCATGCTATAAAAACGAAATAGAGTAGTAAACATGAGGAAATTGGAAGGAATAATGTACACAGGCTTCTAGTCAACACTCTAAATTGTAAAAAAATGAAAATCAGGCAGTTCAATCAAATTCTAGAGAGAAACTTGTAAAATAAGCATGATCAGACTGACATTTGCACTAGATATCTCCACCATTTGCACACCTTCCCTTTAATTGCAGGTGAAGCAGCTTGGCACCACAGTCTGCCTAAGTGGCTTCCTAGGCATTGACATTCCTCCCCCTGCCGGACCTTTATGGATCTTAGGGGATGTTTTCATTGGGCGATTTTACACGGAGTTTGACATGGGAAATAATCGAGTTGGATTTGCAAATGTCGCCACTGACAACACATTACATTATGAACCATATGTCAATACTTTGTAAACTTAGCGCTAAGATAATTGACGATTAGATGGTTGGGACATTTCAGTTTTAATATAGTATCAAACTATTTTGAGCCATATTTGAGGGTGTGTATGTTAACAATGTATAGTTTTATTTCAGTCATTTGTACACTAATGTTTTTACATTGGAATATCGTTCAAAACGAGATAAATTAATTTATTTGAATTGTAAAAACAGAAAAAGAATTTGAGTGCAACCTGTTCGGTATCAACATATTTAATTTTATTTGAAATATATAGAAAGATCTGAATTTGTGATTCTCAAAGTAAAATGAATAGTAAAATTTGTGTTACTTTAAAACACTTGAGACCAGTAAGAAGTGTTCACATTGAGAGGTATTCACTTCAAATAATTATGCAAGAGTCTCTTTATGTTCAAAAATGGCATATTTCTATAGGGTTTCACTTTTAAGTGTTCTCATATATTGTACGTATTTATAATTTAATCTGAATTGCCAAAGGCACACTCCTTCAACTCTCATATACAATGTGTGGATTTTTTAATAGTTTACATATATTAAGCAGGGGCGTAGCCAGCTTTCAGTCAGGGGGGTTGCGATCGCCAAAACAATTTCGGTTTTCAGTCAGGGGGTGTGATTGTGGCATAAGTAACACAAAAATGATTAAGATTTGTTTTGAATTTTACAAAAATTGATGTAACTTCCTTCAAAATTGAGCTAGAAGCCTCAAATAAAAAGCATTTCAAAGCTCTTTTTCTTCTATCTAATGGTTGTATTTTCATATATTATGAATATATATTATACATATTTTCATATGGTTATGGGGGGGTGTGAGCGCACCCCCTCCTGGCTACGCCTATGTTAAGTACATGTATCTTTATTAAATAAGTCGTATTTGATACAAATTATGCAGGACAAAACTTAAGCTAAGCGTTATATTACTTAAGAATATCAGTAAGTTAAACTGAAATGACAACTTTCTCTAATTTCATAGCAAGCAGAAGATCAGTTTTCTGTGATCTTCAATGCAATAGATGCTTGTTATGAATTGGAAGAGGTTTATAAATGGATATTTCATAATCATGTTCTGTACCATTTCACAGAGATATTAGTCATCATTTAATGCTTGCCCTTAATTGAAAATCAGGCTATATCTTTGAGGAATGATCCCTGGGTTAAGTTATGTACACTTTGTTATCAAAGCAATTTAATACTAGTATATTAATTAATTCAATTATATACATATACAGGTGTACCATCTATCTATAAAAGGGCACTATTTTCTATAAACATGTAGATATTTAGTTTATGGCACATCCCTTTTACCCACCGACCCCAAGTGATTTTTGGAAAATGTTTATAACCTGCAATATATGATATATGTTGCAGCATAACTGTTCCACCTGTTTTCACTTGATTTTGTTAAAATAAGTTAGAAAAATGTGATGAACAATTTAGATTCGCGGCATCCTGCATATAGGCAAATTCAAGATGTCTGCGATTTTAATATGTTTTACAATAATTGATTGTTTTTTTGGCCATATCCAACAAGTTTTAATCAAATTGTGATTTTTTGGGATCAAATTAAATACATTTTGAAATCAATTTTTGATCAATTAGTATTATGAAGTAGATGTAATTGATTGTTCAGTTACTGAAAATACATTAATATGTGCTTCACTCTCAATTCAATCAGACTACAAAATGTAAAAGATAAAACATGATTGTTGTAAAAGTTGAAATAATTGACTATTTAAATTGAACAGATTACTGCAGCAGGTCAGACTCAATGTATCAGTGGATTCCTTGGGATTGACATACCTCCCCCAAATGGCCCCCTGTGGATCCTGGGAGATGTCTTCATTGGCAGATTCTACACTGAATTCAACATGGCAAATAACACTGTTGGCTTTGCTGATGTTGCCATGTAAACAAGGGATATTTGAATTTTTATACTGTTATGCTGTTCATGTGGCCTAGTTTTGCTTGATTGGCTAACTTAGGTCACGTGACTCATATACTTGAAAATGAGATACTTTTTGTGGCTTGCCATGTTTTCTATACTGCTATAAACACATTTGCTCATAGAAAGAAAAAAACAAATACCAGTGTTAAACATGGCCCCCACATAGTTCTTAGTCTTTGAGGAATTGAGATTGGTCTGATGATATTATATAGGTGCAGAACAGAACTGATATTTGGATCACACAAACATGACAATTGTACAAAAGTAATTTCTGAACAGTCCGCTATGGATGACCTGAATCTTGATTTTGAGTGTTATGAAATGATAAACTTAAACTAACATTCATGTCGTCTCAGTAGCATTTTGTAAATGCCACATCAATACTTTCATTTATATTCAAGATGTAGTGTAAATGTGGTTTCACATATCTGTCAATAATCAAATAGCAAAATCATTCCACTTATCCAGTTGTAATCAGCTGATACTAAAGTTTAAAAATACCAAATATGCTCAACTGCTGCCTTACATGTTAATACGCTACACATTGTGCTGCAATATCAACGTTTTTGTAATTTCAAATATTTCACAATGGATGTTGTAAGTTTACTTATAAATGACTGTTCTTTGTGATAAGGACATTTACTTGTACTTATGTATTTGTTGATTTGGAATAAAGATATAATTGAATGAAATTCACACTTTGTAAGTTACATTAAAAGCATAGTGAAACATTGTATAGATGGAGTATTGTAAGGAGACATGTTAGGTGAATAAAATCTTTTGTTTCTTTCAAATAAAAGTTTTCTTGAGAGATTTTCTTACCATTTTGAAAAATATTAAGTCACTTGTTTTCAACAAAAATTAGTTAAGTTTTACCAAAATCTATGTACTCTCTCTCAACATACGGATATTTTGGGTTTGTCCCAACATCAATATCAATATTGTGGTCATCATCTACACCGCTTTATTATTATTATATCTTGGTTACCGCCATATTTGGCGAGCAATACTTCATTGGTATATTCCGTATTTTACGTATTTTACACTCGAAGATAGAGCCAGAAACCCCTCCTTGGAGGAGCCACGTTTTCTTTTATGTGCACAGGTACACAGACATACAGGTACACACCACAGCCTTTTTATACGAGTCGTGAACCACTCAGTCAAACACCCAGAATTACATAACGCACAAACAAACTTGTCTGTACCGGGAATCGAACCCGGGGCCAAGCGATATTGGTAACCTTGACTCTCTCTGCCACTGAGCCATAGCGGGTGGACTTTATACTGCCATAACTGGATGGGAAGTAGATAGAGGGCATGAGAAAATATGTCATAATCTCAATGTTCTCATGCCATTTTTAGGCTGAATTGCAAACTCCTAGCAAATGGTTGTTGAACAATATTGTTAACTACATACATGTATGTTGACTGCACCTATTTAACTCAAGGGACTGAGACTCCTATCTTTTAAAGGAACAAACACATTCAATTACCCAAAGTAGCACTAATCACATCATGATAAACCATGACATCTCATTTCTTCTACGCCCTGAGATGTTTCAGGTGAAACAGAAAGATGCAATGAGTATCAGAATGCACTAAACACTGCAAAACTATATTTGCATAATATTATGTATATTAACTTTATTTGCAACATAATACACCAGATCTATACAATAAAATAGGTCTTTTATAGCACATGAAAATATACCTCCATTTACCAATCATATGAGCCATGAAATTGACCCATGCATCAGAGCAAGGTGGATTGGCTCCCAGGATTGAAATGTCATTATTTTCTGAAATTATAACCGACTATAAATTCAAAATGAACAGTACTTAATCATTACTTGTGAGTTTTGGAATTTTTCATTTGGAAATAAGACGGTTTCACGGTTCAAATGTTGAAGTGAACAAAATGGCAGCTGTTTGAATTCGATTTTTTTAATCACGACATGTCCATATATGGCAAAAACATCAATGTTGCACTCTGGGAGCCAATCCTCCTTGCTTCAGAGTAACTACACAGTAAGCCAATCCAGTTGAATCTAACATCAAAATTAAACAAATAATGAAAAATCGCTTAAGCCAAATGTGACTTCTGCAAGTGAAGCAATAGGCTTAAACTGGCTTGAAATCTGCATAACTCATTAGCATCTGATCTCTTGTAATTAACAAGGTGTCACTAAACTGTAAATATGTTTCGATCCACCATAACTGTATATTATATGTTTTGTACTACTCTGTTTAAATACAGGTTAATAAATGAATAATAATAATTACACTTCATAGAAATAACAAGACAATAATATGTCAAAAATATCAACACCTGGTAAGTTATCGCAAATGGTTACAAAAAGTGTAACAATTTGTTACAGGTTATAGACACCAACCACCAATGCCAATTACCAGTCACAAAATTGTAGTATGGTGGGTGATATAAAATATTATCATATATCTTCAAAAATAAAAAAATTAATACTCAAACCGTTCTTTGAGAGCCCTACTTTGAGTAAATAATGATTTGGTATACTGTACTTTATAGAAAAACAATTATTATTATGATTTTATCAAATCTACATTGTTACTCCTTGAATGTAATGAATATCGTATATTCTATCATCGCATAATGTCTAAAAGTATGAAGACCTTACTTAATTTTTGTGTTGTCAAAAAGTAGTACAACAGTAATAAAACACATCTATATAAAAATACAATAAACTATTATTATGCATAGTCATGAGATATTTAGAATATTTCATTGAACCATAACTTTTCACTGAGAGTGTCTACTTTGTTTTTGTTCCTCATTAAATGCTATTCACTCACAAATCCCCAAACTGCCTTGAACCACATTGAGCACCATCTATTCTCAATGCAGTTTTTGGACTGAACGTGCTGTAACTATTGGCTTTCGCTTTGTCCTTTATTTGGTCATATTCATTGAAATTGATTTAGTATATTTCACCTTATGACTTCTGAGTTGAAACATTCTTTATTTTGATACTTGATTCACTCAAAAATGCTAAAAATAATAGTCTTAGATACAAAATACAGATGTGGATGATTATGCTTACATTGCACCTCTTACCTCTTCCAAATCATATGTTTGTACACAGCAGCATTTTCTCTCTTACAGATTGGAATGTAACATCATTGGCACATTAAGACTATACAACTATAGAACTCCAAATGCTTGTAATTTGGCTCTGCTGGATAATTTCACTGTTTCATACATTCAAATAAAAGATGAACAAGTTGAACAAATTACAAGTCGTTTGGAGTTTATTTCAATTTGTTAAGGGGAGGCATCAAAAGTTCGATGTCGGATCAGAAACTAAATAAATCTAGTTTTGACTCTGACCCCCTCCTTCACCCCAAAAACTAAATACCATGAAAGTTGATCACTGACTTCCGGTTTGAGAATTTGAAAAATTATTGCTAAACACGATCTAGTTTTTGTTAATTCCTATCGTAATTTGCGGCTTTTAACAACTATTGATAGAATAGAATCCATTGGAATGATCTTGACGAAGAAAGCATCAGGTAAAATCTTTATTTTTAAACCATTCAAAGGCATTTTCAGTCGAAATTGCCAAAAATTTGAAATGTTGAAATTTGTCGGATAGCAAACTGAAATGGGTTTGAACCCCCTCCCCCCCTAACTAGATTTATTTAGTTTTCTATCCGACATCGAACTTTTGATGCCTCCCCTAAGAGTTCAAGCTCTTGAGTAGTATAAGCAATTATATGGGAGAGTGTATCTATTCCCAGGGAACCCATGCCCCTCCATGAAGTTCAGGATTAGCTTTTGGGTCATCTTTGGGATATCTACAAGGTACTGCACTTGCGTCATATGCAGCTAGCCGCTTTAATAAGGCATCAACAATATCAGGTCGATCATCAGATAAATCATGATGCTCATTGGGATCATTTTCAATATCAAACAGCCATAGATTTTTCTTTGGGTCCCCATATGTTGTGTAAGCATCCTCTGGAACCATTTCTGTGTCCATGTAAGGTGAAATTGAGTTGGTTTCTATACCAGAAGTAGTTGCTTTAGGCACAGGGATCCAACTTCCATTACCTGCAAACAAGATCAATTACGCCTATATACTTATGTGACAAATTATTATGAAACTTTAACTTAATTCATGAATATGCAGCATTGAACTCCACTTGGGTTGGTATAAATCAAAAAAGAGTTTTGAATTGAAACCAACTCTCCTCATGTACTATTTGAAGGGATGTTTATAACATATACTTTCTTTTTCAACCACCTGGGTCTCCTCTATATTGTACTCAAGATTAAGGATTTCTCTTGACTCCTAAATTTTGTAATAACTTGAAAAATTTGAAATTCTATGTAGCTGTATTGACTGAAACAGATAAACCATACCATGGTAGACTGTATTATTAAAAAAAATACAAAAATACCTGGGTCTCCTGTGATGATTTTCCAGCGACCACTTCTTAGAGCTGCCCGTTTACGAGTATCAAATGTAGAATTGACCCTGGGTTCCCCAGATGGATGCGTCAGAGGGTCTATGTTATGTAGCAGCTCTTTGCGAGGACTTGATTTGTTCATGCTAAAGTTTTATGAGTTAAGTATATATTAAGTTTATGTATTAAATTTCTATATTTTGTTATTGTTTGAATATTTTGTAATGTACGTATGTAATAAATACAATTAAATTAGTAACATTTCATCAGCATCAAAGTAATTACAATTCCAAAATCATATGTTATACTATACTCAGCGGGTAGCCCTTGTGTGACTAGCTGTTGTGAATAAGGGTATAGGCCTAAGTGAGATATTCTATACCTGATTGTAGCCCAGACATCATGACCATCTAAGGGTATAGAGAGGTTAGTTGGAATCTTCCCTCCTGCTAGACCCACTATGGTAGGGTACCAGTCAGTCACATGTATCAGCTCCTAAAATATAGTATGTACCCAGTACAATACAGTGGGCAAATCAAATTAAGAGAAAGACTGGTTTAGGAAGGTAAGGACTTGATGACAGGGCAGGGAGGGAGATGCATCACATATGACAGAAAATATACCTCTCCGTATTTTTTTTGTTTATCATGATCAATACAATGATATACCTGTAAATCAAAAGAAAATTTCCAAATGGAGACTTTGTTTAACATTATAAGTTGCAGAAGTTGCAGGGTGAATTAACAAATATTTATTTAAAAAGAACAATCCATTTGGTGAAGCAAAGTGTTGAATAAGTTAAACATTAATGGTCTGATTTGCTGCCATTCTGATATTCAGACCATCTCTGCTATGCACAAGAATTCTAGAAGGAAACTGAGAGAAGGCTGTAATATCTCACGATGATTTGCTGCTAACTCAGACACTTACACACTTCTGGAGAAAAGAGGCCCTAGTTGCAGTTATGTTTCAAGAATAGTTTCTAGTTTTAAGAACAGTTATGTGGCTCTCTGTATTACATGTTCAAATATTATAAATCATAATTACTGATGAAAGACTGTAGATATGATTGAAATCCTATTGACAAAATGTAAAAAGTATTTCTGCGAAAAAACTTACATGGTGTCTATAAAGTCTCTTTACAATTACAATACGAAGTCTGTAAAGTGTAAAAAGACTTAATGGACACCCTATATAATTGTATAGAATTAAAAACTACAGAATTACCTTGCTCACTGTGCCTTTATTCTTGAGGAATGGACTGTGTACAAATCCTACTCCATGCACCCCTCCCTCCCACAGTGAACCCTTCCACCCTCTGAGTGGGTAGTTGCTCCCCCCTCTAAGTATCTGACCTCCATTATCTGGAATGTGAGAATGTTTGATCTTAATGAAATCAAGTGAATATTTAAATGATGTTGTTATACACAATTTCTTACCACAAAATGTAGTTGATCAGTTTTTTAATAATTTCAAACTAAAGGCCAGCTTGTGTGGTGTTCTTTTAAAAATCAAACAAAACAAATATTGTCCAGACAATGACATTTAGGAATCTCTATGATGTTCAATTTCATGATGTTTTAATCTAGCATACATTTTAGTTACCTGTTGAGAATATGAGGATTGTATTGTCCCATATCCCCTTCTGTTTAAGTGAATCTGTGATGTTTCCTATAGCCTCGTCCATGCATGTCACCATACCTGTAAGTGAGATAGAGAGCCATATATTAGTGGTGTCAATTAACCGCTTGAGCATTAACCGGTTAACGGGGGGGTTTTACCGGTTAAAGTCGGTTAACCGGCGGGAAAGAACTGATAATTTCAAATGAAATCTTTATCTTCGATCTTGAAAGTTGAAAAAAATTGGAAAAATGATATATCAGCGTTTATTTTTTACGTTCGTCAAGCTTTATTCTATGTAAGTAAGCGCGGGGAAGCAATGTGGCAGGGATTAAAGTTGCTGATCGGATGTTTGTAAAGAATTATCGGACCTATTATCTGGCCATAGAAAGCCAGATTAAAATATTCAACAGAGAGGTTTTACTTTTACAAAGGTTGAAATGGTTGGACAAAAGTTCCATTAGAATCAAAACTTGTCTAGAGCTAAAAGCCCTTGTGTAGCCCCCCCCCCAGGGACAAAAACTCCATTAGGATCATTATCAAGCAATCGCCTTTCCCCTCCCCCAAGGGCATAGCTGTACCTGCATATGTCCTTCTGTTCTTGTCCTTTATGTGTGCATACTGGTCCACATATTTAGCAGGAACCTCCAGGGGTGCATGCACTGATTGAAATGGCACATACATAAATAAAGGCTGAAAAACAAGAGTCAAGTACACAAACATATCTAAATGTTTCAAAATAACTTTTAGTTATTAGAATTTCTTCTCATGTGTATTTTCCTCATCTTGTACTAATAAAACCTAATTATTTAAGCCTGGTTGACGAGTTAAGCATTTCTAAAAGTCCCATCACTTCTATTGCATTCATTTTGTCAATTTTATAATCGTTAATGGTTATCTGATTTGTGATGGGTGTTTTGATGGAAAAAACAAGTGAGAGAAACCATACTTTGGATGAGGATAAAATACCAAAAATACCTTTGAATTATTATGGCTATCAATGAGCTTTTGAGCTCTGGAGGCAAACAGAGATGCTGAATATTTGCCTTTTTGTTGTTTATCAACCTTCATGTTGTCATGGAGATCCACTCCACAACCCAGTTTATTGTCAAATGGATAACAGCGAGAATGGGTGTAGTAATCTTCACTGCCTGTAAGGTATCCTACAACAAGGAAAATAGTTTCTAAAGTTACATAAATGAAAAATAAAATTGAATCAATAATACAGTACATGTATATAATCAATCAAAATAATTATTTAATTAAATATGCATCAATGTGTATGAATATCTATATTAAAAAGTAAAATATATTTGACTTTACTAAGGCTAATATTGAATTAGTAGCTTTAAAAAGACAAATGTGCAAGAATTTTACAAAGAAAGTATAAAATTCAATAATTAAGGGGGCATGTCTGTAAAATTAGCAAAATGCATGGAAGTGAGATCAGACATTTTTGCTAAAAAATTCTACAAATCAGCAAAACTTATTTTTCAAACTTTATGAATAAAGGGCTTCATGCATGGTAAATGTGTAAGCCTTGTATGCTTTTCTGAAATGCAAGGCTTCTAATATATGAAATCCATTGAAAAAGGCACAACATCAAGGGGGAAGGGTTGCACTGAAGAAGTAAGTAGATCCAAAGATACATGACCCAAAGTGCACTGCTTCTGATTTTAGTGGTGAATCACAAATGTGTTTGAGGATTGAGGATTGTTGATTGGATTACATACGTATTTAAAAACAGATAATGAAGTAAATGTGATCTGTAGTTTGATTAATAAAATGTGTTTAAGTTTCATGGGCTTCCACTAAAAAGACTGGCCAATAAACAGATATATCAATGGTGCACTAAAAGTAAGAGAACAATTCACTATTGACTTGTCATCTAGGAGTTCATGTAAAAGTATGCAAACTTCTGTGTACATTTTGTGTCACCAATTCAGTACACTTAGACATAAAGTTGAAAGCTAGAAATCTTGATCTGGTGGTCTAAAGTGAAATATTTTAGCAATTTCAATTACCATAATAAGAATCAAATCCCCTTTTGGTTGGGGTATATTTCACTTGATGGAATCCAAGGTGCCATTTCCCTATTATATGAGTAGAATAACCCACTCCTTTAAGTCTATCAGCTATTGTCTCAAAGTGTGAAGGTAAAGCATTGGGAACTGAAGGCCTAATCACCCCATGTTGAAGCCCAGTATGGATCTGAAGCACAAAGAGACATATCAAGCACTGGTCTCTTAAAATTAAGAGTTGGGGGTTCACCTTCTTGCCCAAAAGTATGCAACTAAAATAGGGAGATGATCACTCTCACTAGAAGCCCAGGATGAATCTAAAGAACAGAAATACTGTTTAGATCAGGATAAGCCAACAAAAATTATTTTTATTTCATTCTGCGATAATTTTTTTGACAATGATCTTTAAAATGTTTACAATGGAGATGCAGGATGAATAACTCTTCAGGGGTTTCTGAATAATGAAGTTAAACAGACACTGGGGTCTAAATTAAAATACAGCTGTTATATACTGTTATTAGTCATGACTCTCAGTAATTTAGCCTGAAAAAGCCCCAAAGAGACCAAATTATGCCCAAAATGGCCCATTTTTGGAGACCCCACAAGGGGGAGGGCATGTGCCCCCTGGATCCGCCAGTGTATAGTATACAGTTAGCACTTCAAGAGAGACAGACAGGGTGTTTATTTGCAGACTGAAAATGGAAAACAATGTACTTAAAGTGTCCTAAAAAATTTATCAACATCATGAAAATGGTATGCTTATATAAGGAAAACTCTTTCAAAATTTCATTTGTAGTAAACAAATATCACATTCTTGGGATTCCATTTTCAAGCAGTGAAAAGTGTTGGTCTTACGAGTAATCTGCATATTTAACAGTTTAAAACATTATGAATGATATATCATCCAACTAATTGGTTGCAGGCCATTTCTACTCATAATCAATTTTGTTCAAACTGTAAGATGACATCCCTTAACATGATATTCACATTTTAGTCTATGAAACAGCTTTTTACCAACAATCCACTCTAAAACAAAACTGACTAGGTGCAGAACCTTTATACTATAGAAGAGCAAACCAGAGATGGTTGAGGAAGTTCATAATCCCACTGATTCCAAAGTCCAGCTTCATAATTTGACAATGGCATATCTCAATACTACATAGTAATTAGATCTGCATGCTTTGATACTCGGAGAGTGTTTCCTGCTCTAAATGGCTTATAGAAACTATTGAACTTTGAGTCTATGTTAACATCTCAGTATGTAAGCAACTAGTATAGTCTTGTTTTAAGCCCCCCCCCAATATAACTCACTTCAATAAAAAGTAGAAAGGGGGACATAATGCAAGACTTGTAAAGTAGAAAGGGGGACACAATGCAAGACTTGTAAAGTATAAAGGGGGACATAATGCAAGACTTTCTGTAAAAATTGATATTGTAAGGAATAAGCACATGGTTAGATCAATCACATGTAAAATGCTGGTATATACCATAAAATGTATCAAATCCCCTGTAATTTGGAGTGTACTGTTTCTTATAGAACCCAATATGCCATTTGCCAACCATATGAGTGGCATAGCCAGCATCTTGGAGCCTATCTGCTACTGTTTTAAACTCAGATGGTAAGGCATTAGGTGTACCAGCCCAGATGATGCCATGCTGAAGACCAGTGTGGATCTGCAAGGTAAAAAGACTTGGAAAATAAACATATGAAACTTGGGCTGGTGATCTAATCAGCAAAAAATAAGCAAAGAATTCATAGATTATAATTGCCACCAGTATAGCCTGTGTCCAACAAGAAGTCAGCCTGTCAACTTAATGTACCATCTTACATGGAAATTGCAGTTTTTTTTACAAAATTATCAATTTGAGGAAGAATTACTTCACAAAAATAAACATTAACACTTCAATAAGTAGTAATGTACAATTAAATGTTAACAAGTAACACAACATATTGTCAGGTTGAAATAAAGCTAAATAAAGTAACAAAAACCATGGGCTTTCAAATAATTAATCAAATTTCAAAAATATTTCATTAAAAAAGTCAGAACTACATTCATATATAGGATCCTAAGTATAGGATTTACAGAACTATATACTAAATTTTTTCGATCATGCTCCTCATCAGTCCAAAAAATTTTTCTGAAAATGTACAAATATTATTCAATCTACTTTGATTTATCAAAGATCGAGTTTTGTTGCAGCATGTATTCCATTACATAGCTATTAACAGAAATACTTGAAAATCGAGTATAAACAAAGACAGGTGAGTCATTTTCTCAAAAAAATTGTGACTTTGATAAGGAGTTTTGCTATCACTAATGTCAAAAATAAGGGTATTCATGGAGGTACACTGTACATGTACACCCTGGTGAAATTATGTTTCTCCCTGGTTGAAAACAAGAAAATACATCAATATAACAAAATGTTTGTCTATAAATACCTGATATCTCCCTGATAACAACTGACTCCTAGTAGGTGTACATATGGGTTGTACATAGTAATTCTCCAGTTTTACACCTTGGCCAGCAAGAAGATCAAGATTTGGTGTTTTGATTTCCGACCCGTGATATCCAATGTCATGCCATCCATAATCATCAGCCAAAATCAGCACAATATTAGGCTGTGTAGTTTGTGAATTGTTTAATCCAACAAATACGATTAATACGTTTAGAAACAACGTATACTTCATCGTGAAACAGGAAAACAAAATTTTCAAAACATTCCCCGCCATCTTGTCTACCGGATTACGCCAAGAAGAAGAAAAGTGAAAATGAGTTCTAAGCAAAAGTACTTCTTTTGTCGGAACAAATATTCGATGATTTACAAGAATGTGACACATGGTACGTGTTTATATATATACATGAAGTAATTGTCTCTATGTTGGATTTACTTTATTGTGAAGGAAATATAACATTCGCAGAGCTGTCAAGTGTCCCGCGAATGGCGGGACTATCCCGCGAATTTGATCAAAATTAGGCTAATTCGCGTGTCCCGCAATGTCCCGCGAAGTCCCGCAAATGTGGTTTTTGACCTCCGCGAATTTCCGAAATTGTTGCAATCCCCTATATTGTGATTATCTTATCTTATAAAAGAAGCTAAGTTTTTGCACTTTTGAGGAGTAAAATTTACCTAATTTTAAGTACCTAGCATGCTGCTGTTTGGTATCAAAATAAAGAGGAAGGGTTCAACTTTCATTTTAATTATGAAAATAGGGATGTAGGTCAAAAATAGTTCTAACGTTGGGCTTTTTACTATCCGTGTGGCCTTCATCTCAGAACTGAGCAAATGTTAGCAAACGCGAGTTACAACAAATGGACACTGATATCTAGAAAGGGTGCATTGTAGAAATACCGGGTAGTAAATCCTCCATGCTGGGTTCAAACTTGGTACCCGGTACCCGGTCAAAAAACGGGTACCCATAAAACGAAAAATACGAATATATAACATAATTAGATTATGAGAAAACGTGTAAGATTTGTTTTGAAATACTTTACAAAAATGTATGTAACATCCTTCAAAATTGAGCTAGAAGCTTCAAATAAAAAGTATATTTAAGGCTCTTTTCTTCCTCTATCATCATGGCCATATTTTCATCGGTTATGGGGGGGGGGGTGCGATCGCACCATCGCACCATCTCCTGGCTACGCCTATGACATTGTAAGACATAACAATTTACAATTCAGTGGACATTTTGTCGAAAATTGGGATAACTTAAATTATGATTAAATCAAAATCATGTAAATTAACACGTCACCTCCCTGCTAAAGCAACGATAGCTATTTATAGATTTAAATCATAATCAAAACAATTCACGTACCAACAAACAAACTATTGAAAATAGAGTAAGATTGATTTGTCTTGTTTTTCAAATCGTCTTACAATGTCATTGGCGTAGCCAGGAGGGGGTGCGATCGCATCCCCTCCTCCCCCTTTCATTACCAATGGAAATATGATGATAGAGGACGAAAATAGCCTTAAAATGCTTTTTATTTGAAGCTTCTAGCTCAATTTTGAAGGAAGTTACATACATTTTTGTAAATTCAAAACAAATCTTACACGTTTTCTAATGATCTAATTATGTTGTATATTCGTATATTTCGTTTTTTGGGTACCCGGTTTTTTCGACCGGGTACCAAGTTTGAACCCAGCATGAAGGATTTACTACCCGGTACCCGTTTTTTTCTACAATCTAGAAAAGTAACCCCATTGCCTATAATTTGATGTAGATTAATCGAACCCCTATATCATGGGCTTTCAATTGAAAGAAAATGCCATGAATAGGTACATGTACACTTTAATATATAACATTATGGGGGTAAGCGTTTCATAGTTGTTCACGACGCCAGAAGTGCAAAGTATTGTTCCGAATTTTTGAATTTCGTGTTAGATTACGATACTCACACCTGAAGCATGGTTTTTGCTTTTGAAAAATTACAATAAAGTTTAATAATATTCCTATACGTATTTTGTGAAATTGTGTTGACGTTTATTGAAGTTACAATGCAACGGTGCATTGTATTTGATTAATCAGTATCTGGAAGTTTGATTTAAGTACTTTTACACGCTTTTACATTAGTCCCAATCACGCAAATCCTTGAATGTCCCGGGACATCCTGCAAATTTAGGTGAATGTCCCGCGAAATCCCGCAAATTTAGGGCACTTTGTCTAAAAAATCTGTCCCTCTATCAAGTTTTTGGTGGTAAACCTGTTAACTATAGCGCAATTAGGGTGTTTGTCCCTCGAATGGTCCCGCGAAATCCCGCGAATTTGATAAAAAAATTTGGCTTATCAGCGCAATCACGCAAATCCCTTAAATGTTCCGCGAAATCCCGCGAATTTAGTAGATGTCCCGCAAAATCCCGCGAATTTTGGGCACTGGGTCTAAAAAAATCTGTCCCGCGAGAAAATCTTTAGGAGTTGACAGTACTGCATTCGTAACCTGCAGAAAGAGGAATTCGTTCCCGGGAATTCGTCTATCATGATCATCGATTAACCAAGGAGGATTGGCTCCCAGAATCGAAGTCGATATTTTCCAACAATGAAAACGCCGAGATGTCGTTATTTTCTGAAATTATAACCGATTATAAATTCAAAATAAACAGTTCAAAAGATTCGAACCAATATCTCAATCATTTCCTGTGAGTTTTGGAATTTTTCGTTAGGAAATAAGACCAAAATTTACGATTAAAATGTTGAAGTGAACAAAATGGCGGCTGTTGGAATTCAAATTTTGTAGCACGACATGCCCATATATGGGACAGAATATCGATGTTGCACTCTGGGAGCCAATCCTCCTTGTCGATTAACCAAACCCGTCTGGCCCAGTTATCTACTCCCGTACTCGTAGATCTACGACAATTCAGAATCGGGAGTAGATTACTGGGCCAGACGGGTTTGGTTAGATCATCGATGTTTTTGAAGCAGGCGCAGGCTGCGTACAGGCACATGTCATACAATGCATATGCAGTGAAAACTAAGACCATTTACCATTACTGATATAGGGAGGATGTCAGAGTCGAAGCAAGCAAATGTCAAAAGGGTGTGCAAATATTTGCACAGGAAGTTGTACTAGTATTACGTCCTTTTTGGGCCCTAACGAAGCCTTTTGCCCTCCCCCAATCTCGCAGAACAGATGAAATTCAACTTCCTGTGAATGTTTGGGTTTGCACAAACTGAAACATGTCTCATTGTTTGCATCATGGCGATGGCCCATGCGAAGTACGTGGAGAGTGGTAAAGGAGAGGGGGAGTAAGGAAAAGAGGGTGACTGAGTGGGGTTATGGAGTGGTAAGGAAGATGGGGCAAAGGAGGAGCGGTAAGGAAAAAAGTGTGACTGAGTGGAAATAAGGGATGATAGAGTGGGAAAGGAGAGGGGGTAAAAGAGGGGTAAGAGAAGAAGGGTGGTTCATTAGGGGTAAGAGAGATTGGGTGGTAGAGATAAGGGCTATGGATTGGAGAGTGAGTGAAGGAGGGGTAAGGAAAAGAGGGTGGTTAAGTGGAGATAAGGGTGGTGGAGTGGTAAAGAGTGGTAAGAGACAGGCTTGTTAAGAGGAGTGAAGGAGAGAGTGTAGTTAAGTGGAGATAAGGGACATTGCATGATAAAGGAAGGGGAAGAGGAGACAGAGAGAGAGAGAGAGAGACAGGAAAGAGAGAAGGAATGATAAAGGAGGTTTAAGGAAAGAGGGTGGATAATGAGTATGGATAAACCAAGAGGGCTTAGCTGAAAAAAATATGACCATTGGCTTTACACTGAACTTTACTCAATCTGCTTCTAAGGGTGTGACTGTGCCTTGTTTAATAAATGTTGTGATTTCACTATGATGGGACAGAAGGGTCACATACAATGGTGAGATTGATGAATACTGACATAAGAGAGCAATTTTGATTGAGCATGTAAAGAATTGCATGTGAAATGTACATGTAGGTGTTGCACCTACATTACCCATACTATGGTTGATGAGTGAATATGTTATTTATTAGCTCAACTAAGCTCTCACTTTCCTCGCCTCCAACCATCAATGTTTTTTTCTTTTTGATAGGTCAACCAAGTCTAACTTTCAAGACCAAGAAGTGAGATGAAGGTGGAAGACAGCATAATTGGGACCAGTCCTATGCTCCAATGTGTCATTCCCAATGACCACTATGCTCCCAACACTGTTGAGAAGTTCCCAACTATTATATACCATCCTGTGAAACCATCTGTAAGAGAATACATCAGATCTGAGTACAAGACTGTGTTGGATGAATCATTGATAATGAGTAAGTATATTATGAAGTTTTTGCGTTAGTTAATTGTGCCTTTGTGCTTTTAATCTCAGCATTAGTAGATGGATTAAAATGAACTTCTTTTTTGGGGGTCAAGGATGAAATCATTTTAGATTTGTGATAGCATTTATATTCTTAGGTTTTACGTCCAGTTTACTAATTTTATCTACAGGAAGAGAATGAAGAGTTCATTTTGTCAGAGTTTCAATGGGATATACTTCAGGTTGTCTAAAACTAACATAAATCAAGAGAAAGGGCTTGTCTTTTGGGAGAGAGCAGGCTTTTCTGATGTTGAAGTAGTGTCCTTATCCATTAGCAAAACAGCACTTAAACATAAGCATATGCACTCCTCATTTTAAACCTCCTCGAAAAAAGTCATGGCCGTATAGTTAGGGATGTTGTCCAAACATTTACTGTTATTAGCTCCATGGGCTTTCAACATGGGCTTTCAACTAGAGTTGAAAGCCCATGTTAGCTCACATGGTGAGCTATTGCAATCACTCACTTGTCCATCTGTCTGTCTGTCTGTCTGTTTGTCAACAATTGGCTCTTTTTAAATCTTCTGTCAATCCTCTGTTGATAGGATTCCTGTTTTAAGTTATTTTTGTTCAACATCAATATGCAGGGCGTATCAAAAAAAAAAAATGCAACAAGTAGCTATCTCGTAACGGTAATATCACAAAACTAATGATGACTACATTTCATTCAATGTACCATAAAGCCATGTCTCTCCTCTTTGCAATGATATGTCATTCAATCACATGTGGTAATGGTTGGGTGAGAAATCTTTCCATTTGCACAGTGGGTCCAACTCGGCTCTGCACCATGTTTTAGATATTGCAAAAATCAGTGCAAGGGCTAAGTGCCAATGGAAGTTCCGCTGACTTGAATTGTTGTGACTTTTCATTTGGAGCTATCTCAGGAGCATCTGTGCTTACAATTCCTTCACCAGATATTGCAAAACCTCGAGAAAGAATTGCCCATGGGCTGCTTTTCTCTGCTTTAACCCACAGATGACTCAGGGCTGAACCA